TTCCAGTAATACAGAACCACGGGCTGGGTGGTTGAAACAACATGCATTTATTTTCTCACAGAGCTGAAGGCTGGAAGTCCAAGGTCAAAGAGCCAGCTGGTTGGTCTCAGAGTTGGCTACTCTTCCTGGAAGACGCCTTCCCATATGTCCTCATGGTGCTTCCCTCTGGGCCTGCATTTCTTGTCCTCCCTTTATGGGGCTCCCAGGTCCATAGGATAGGACCCCACCCTAATGATCTCATTTAACCTGACTGTCAGCCTCTTAAAGGCCCCATCTCCAAATACAGGCACATTAGGGATTAGACCTTCAGAATATGAATGTGGATGGAGGTACAACTCAGTCCATGATTCAGTAAATAGTCAAAGACTTATCACCAAGAAAACTCCAGTCACAATGAATGTGTTCTCCTCTCAGATGTAGTCCCCATAAAATTCCCACCACCAATTCACCCCTGCACCATCGCCATAGTCCCTTGTGCTCTTCCATACCCTGATTTAATACCTCTACTTCCCCCGACCTGCAGTATTTCTCTGATTTATTGTTGCCTGTTGGTTTTGTTTTTTAATTTATTCTAATTATTTTTTCCTGATATCTTATTTGGTTTCACTGAATACATTGCACAAAAATTAAGAATGATGTAAAATATATATAAAATTTAAAAAAAAAACACATTTAAAAAAGAAAACTCCAGATACAGTTGATTGATAACAAGTAATCAAGAAGCAGTCCACTCTGATCACCTTTGAAATCTCATCAAACAGAAAATAGGAAAACTCCCCATCGTATATAATGAGGCTAGTAACACATATCAAAACCAGATGAGAACAGCATGAATTTGGGAAACTGCCGGTAGCCTCTCTTAAGACTATAGGTTCAAATAAAAAAAAAATCTAAACTAAGAATAAATAATCCAGCCATTTTTTATAAAAAAAATTATCAGGCCAAGTTGGGTCTATTTATATAAACATAAAAAGGTTTAACTTGATTTGATAATTGGCCATATTAATGTGCATGAATACTTGCCCACAGAATCCAACAATGCATCAAAGGGATAGTACACCACGATCAAGTAGGATTCATCCCAGGGGCACAAGGATGTTTCAACATATGAAAATCAATAAGTATAACACATCAACAAAAAGAAAAATAAAAACCATATGATTATATCAATAGATGCTGAGAAAGCATTTGACAAAGTCTGACCTCCGTTTATGTTGAAGGTCCTTGAAATTCTCGGGATAGAAGGAACATACCTTAACATGATAAAAGTCATACACGACAAACCCACTGCCAATATTATTGTCAATGGTGAAAAGCTGAAGGCCTTTCCTTTAAGATCAGGAACAAGACAAGGTTGTCCTCTCTCACCACTGCTGTTCAATATAATACTGGAGGTCCTAGCCAGGGCAATAAGACAAGAGAAAGACATACAAGGAATCCAAATAGGGAAAGAAGCAGTAAAACTATCACTATTTGCAGATGATATGATAATATACATAGAGAACCCTAAAAACTCCACAGAAAAACTACTCAAAATAATCAACCAGTTCAGTAAAGTAGCAACATACAAAATCAACACACAAAAATCAGTAGCCTTCCCATACACAATCAATCTGAAGAAGAAGAAATCAAGAACACCATCCCTTTTATAATTGAAACAAAAAAAAATCAAATACCTGGGAATAAACCTAACAAAAGAAGTAAAAGACCTATACAAAGAAAATTACAAAACATTGTTAAAAGATAGTGAGGAAGAGACAAAGAAATGGAAAGACATCCCCTGCTCATGGATTGGAAGAATTAACATTATTAAAATGGCCATCCTCCCAAAAGCAATATACAGATTCAGTGCTATTCCAATAAAAATCTCAATGACATTCTTCAAAGAAATAGAACAAATAATGATAAAATTCATATGGAACCACACACACAAAAAAAAAAAACATGAATAGCCAAAGCCCTACTGATGAAAACAATGGAGAAAAGAGGTATCACACTTTCAAGCTTCAAGCAATACTACAAAGCCATAATAATTAAAACAGTTCTGTATTGGAAAAAAAACAGACATACAGACCAAGGGAACTGAATAGAGAGCCCAGAAATAAAGCCACACTTATAGGAATAACTAATCTTTGACAAAGGAGCAAAGAATATGCAATGGAACACGGACAGTTTGTTCAATAAACAGTGCCAGGAAAACTGGACCTCCACGTGCAAAAAAATGAAACTAGACCGTTACCTCTCACTGTGCACAAAAATCAACTCAAAATGGATAAAAGAACTGGACATATGACCTGAAACCATAAAATATATTGAAGAAAATATAGGTAAAACACTACAAAACATACATCTCAGAAACATCTTTAAAGACTCATCACCCAAAGCAGTGATAGTGAAGGCAAGACAAGCACCTGGTATCACATCAAACTGAAAAGTTTCTGTACAGCAAAAGAGACACTAACTAAAACAGACACCCCACTGATTGGGAAAAAAAATCTTTGCACTTCATTTAACTGATAAGGTACTGATCACAAAGATATACAAAGAACTCACATGGCTCAACAAAAACAAAATAAACAATCCAGTCAAGAAATGGGCAGAAGAACTTAAAAGACATTTCTCCAAAGAAGAAATGCAAATGGCCAACATGCATATGAAGAAATGTTCAACATCCCTTATCATCAGGGAAATGCAAATCAAAACCACACCGAGAAACCATCTTACACCAGTAAGAATGGCACATATCAAAAAAACAAGCAATGACAAATGTTGGTAAGGATGCAGTGAAAAAGGAACTCCCCTACATTGCTGGTGGGAGTGCAAACTGTTCCAACCACTATGGAAAGCTCTCTGGAGTTTCCTCAGTCTACTAAAAATGGAGCTATCATACAACCTGGTAATTCCACTCCTGGGGATCTACCCAAAGGACACAAAACATTGATTGAAAAGAACACCTGTACACCTATGTTTACTGCAGCACTGTTTACAATAGGTAAAACCTGGAAACAACCCAGATGCTCAAAAATAGATGACTGGATCAAGAAGATGTGGTATATATTCACAATGGAATATTATTCAGCAATCAAAAAAGATAAACTCATGCCATTCGCAGCAACATGGATGGAGCTAGAAGGAATTATGTTCAGTGAAATAAGCCAGAAGGAAAAAGAAAAATATCAGTTGGTTTCCCTTATAACAGGAATACAAGGAAACAAAATAAGACATCAGAGTAAAAAAAAAAAAAAACAGTACAAAACACAACAAAGCAAAAACAGACAATTATAAATCAGAGACATACTGCAGGGGAGGAGGAGGGAGAGGAATCAGAGGGAGGGAGAAAGGGAGGGAGGAGCACAGAGGACTGTGGTGATGGTGCAAGGGTGCCTTGGGGAAGAAAATTCTATGGGGACTCAACCTGAGGGAGGGGGGGAAGCAAATATTGCTTAAAAAAATAAAATAAAATAAAATAAATCAGTGAAAAAAATAATTTGAGTGAATATATGTATACCTCACAAAACAAGCAGAAACAAATTTAGATAATATGAAACAATCATTTACGAGTTGTAGAAACCAAGACTAAGCAGGTAAGTTTTCTAACCCAATAGAGGGTATCTACCAAAAGCCTTCAAAAAACATCATTGACAAGGTTATGTGTTAAAGTGTTCCTTCAAGTCAAGAACCACCACAACAGATCTAGTGTCATTTCACTGGAGAATGTGTCAGCGTTTTTAGTTTTTCATAAAAACCCAAACAGGGCCTTCCTGGTGGCGCAGTGGGTTGAGCAAAGGGCCGTGAAGCCGTCCATAGCCTCTGCAGTGTGGGTTCAATTCGCGGTCGGCCAGGGAGACACCCACATGACGCAGCAGAACTCCCCTGTCTTGCCCGCTGCTCCCCTCAGCAGTGTACTTCAGTCAGTCTGCCTGTTCTGATCCCCACTCTGTCTCTGGTGAATCCTCTCACCCTCCTGCGCCTCTGGCCTGTGCCCCAGTTCTTGTATAAATAAAAATAAATCTAAAAAAAAAAACTGAAGCAATTTTACTGAAAATGTTTTAGACCAAGAGATTTTAACAAATTGGTTAAATAGACAAAAATAAAAACATTTCTTTGTGCTATCAATAAACTGAAAACTGTATTTTTAAAACATCATTTGCAATGGCAGCAAAATGATAAGGCATTTAGAGAAGTCACCTGACAGAAGAGGTCAAGCTCTCTTAGGGAAATTTCATGAAAGGTATTAAACACCTAATTAGAGGAGACACTGCCTTGGTCACTGATAGGGGGAGTCTGGATTAGGAGTCTGCATTGCAGATTCACATCCTTCCAAAGGATCCCCATAACCATATGATTGTAATAAAATGTTATGAAGATTTGGGGAGAATAGAGATGGGGTGCTGCTTCTAAAATTAAAAGTTCAGGGGGTTCCAATGATTTCCGTGGAGCAAACAAGGCAGTATAGTTCTCTCTGATCTTCTGGTCCATGCAAACTATGAGCATGATAAAATGGTTCTTCTCTGACTTACTAAGTTTGGGGTGGTTGATTCCCATCAATGGATAAGGGGAATCCCTCCTAAACAAACAAAATTGTACCACTTTCTTCAACTTCTAGACCCTCCCACCCCCTGGAAGACATCAGTGTTCACTCAAATGGCCATAACAACACTCTGGTCTCCCAGCCGCGACCCCCTCAACCACAGTGATGTCCTTGTCTAAGCCACCCCAGCTGCTCTGGCAGTTCACAAAGACTCAGCCTCCCAGAGGACTTTAACAGCCATCAGTGAGGGCTCAGGATAAGGGACAAATGGAGGTTCCTCTCACAGCCCTATCAAGGATGCCCTGACTCCCCCCTGGGAATGTCAGTAGGCAAGACAGTGAGCAGAGCTACAGACCACATGGTCGCCATGCCAACCTTCCTGTCCATCACAACTTAGGGTATTATGTCTCTATGGGTCAGGGAGACACCCTGGCAGGCAGTGCGGCCTCCACCCAGTATCAGTCCTACTCTGCCCTTAGTGCAGGTCTACTAGTAGAGGCTATTGTTATTGATTAAAGGAAAGACTTGATTAAAGGGGTATAGGCCCCTGTACATTGCTCGAAAGAGTGAAGGTCACATTTTGCCTGACTAAGAGATTAGTGTCCCTTGCAGCTGCCCAGAAAATGGGAAGCAGCTGCCCCGGGGTACCCGGGCTTGCATTCATCCTCCTGCTGGTTTTGCCCCCTCTGCTGCCAAGCAGTGGGGCATACCAGCACAGAGCCCCAACCTGGCTAGATTTCCACCACCTTAGTCGGGCCAGGAGAAAACTGCACAGCAACATCAACCTGGATGGGGAGAGCACCAGCCAGGGCCACAGCCATGAAAACGGGACCATGCAGAAGCGGGCAGTTACCAGTAAATCCTGCCAGAGCAATCTTGACCTCTATTTTATCATAGACAAGTGAGTGGACCTCCTACCGGACCAGAGACTTGGGGGGCATTACAGGGAGCTCCTTTCTCAGCACTTTTTAATCATGTCCTGGGTTTTTGGTTATCATTTTATGCTTGGTTTTGTCTCTCACCTAAATGACTCCAGTTTTACTGGACTCCAGAAAGACTGCTGAGTTGTCTCAGGCCCTCTGTAGTGTCACTGCTTCTCTGTCTAAGAGTTTTTGCTACTTTCTGCTACAATTAATGTGTTTTCTGAACACTTTGCTCTCTGGGTGTGGTCCCGAGAAAGCTGGGCTCTATATAAGCCTTTATGACCTTAAAGAAGGAAAGGGGTCCAGGGCATTGGCTTGGAGACACGGCCTTGATCATTTCCAGCTCCCCTGTTGGGCGGAGAATTAACTTCCCCTCTTCAGTAATAACGATGGTATGATGTTGGTGACCTCATGGAAGCATTGGATTGTTTTCAAAGCCCCTTTCCCTGCACTGTGCCATCCTCAGACAGGCCTGGGGGAGAGCAGGGAAGGTATCTGCCATCTCCCGGGATGGGTGCAGGTCCCAGAGTTGAAGGCAGTAGCCCAGAGGCTCTCAGGATGACTTATCCACTGTTGAAAAATCAGGTGTTGAAGTTATCTACAAATACGTTATTTTTTTCCTCCTTCTGACCTGCTACATCTATGTGCACAGGTGTTGGGGGCACATTTTGTGTCTTTGGGATGTGATGACCTCATTATCACTATGTAATAACTTTCACTCATGTGAACATTTGTGACTTAACATCTACCTTGTCTATTATGACTATCCAATATGAATATCTCCCCTGCATGAAATATCTTCTTTCATCCCTTCACATTCAATCTCTGTTTGCTTTTAAAGTGAAATGTCTATTTTTATAGCAATACATCCAAAACTGGCCTTATCTGTCCACCAAATCACACTGCTATCTTTGCTTGATGAATTCAATATATTTAAATTCAGAGTGATTACTGATACGTAAGAACTTGCTACTGACAACTTATTATTTCCTAAATGTGATATATTGACATTACAGCTTTTTTTTTTCCTTCTGTTCTGCCTACCTTTGCAGATTGGGCTTCCATCATGTATATTCTGCTTTCCTTTTTAGCCTCTGCTTGTTTATTGTACATTTCTCTAGGGAAACCAGGACTTGGAGCTTTGAAATCTGCCTTTTCGTTAACATCCCATCATGCTACTAGCATTTGTTTTTAATTTTATTTTAACAATTATCAAGTAAATGCATGAACACAAATTGAAAATCAAATACTGTTACAAAGTTCCTACAAAAATTTGAGGCTTCTTTCCTACTGTCTCCAATTCTGATCCCATTCCTCAAAGACAGCACTTACAAATCTTCCAGATTTCAGTCCGGCATTATTACTTTGTTTCTAATAACAGGAGAAGAGATTATAGGTTTCCAGTGGCTATGTTCCCCTATACAGCTCTTTCCTACCCTTTCCATTCGTTCAGCAGTTAAATCACTAGAATTTTTGTCCTCAGGTTATACTAGTAGCACCTCAAATTATGGTGATCTTGTTACAGGGCAACCCCACTCTAAAACAGATTGCCTGACTGTGGGTCCTCACCCGTGTGCTTAAAAGGGACCTATACTGCAGGCACACACAAAAGGTTAACAAAGATTTATTTACAAGGGAAAAGGAAATGGGGAAATGTACAACTCATGGAGAAAAGAGGGAGATAAAGTCTTAAATGTGTCCTACCCTTTCCGCCTACCTGGAACCCCAAGTGACCTGCTGACACCAAACCTGCCTGGCCAAGAGCACAAGCTTTGTGAGCCCTGACCCCACTAAGATGGCTGGTTTTATTTACAAACAGAGCAAATGGCTGCTGAACTCTGCCCTTAGGTCCTTGCAACTTCTCTTTGGGGATCATGGGATTTGTAGTTTCCAGTGTCTTGATGGAGTGGGGGTGCATCCACAAAACCTGTATGGAATTCGCTCAGGACATCCTTCCCCCTAACAATCTCTATCTTCATTTAAGAGCAGAATGCTAAAGCAGGCTAAGAGCTTTGTGTGGCAGAGTCCCTGTGGTTGTTCCATGCCCACTCACCTTCGCAGGGACCTGTAAGTACCTGTGGGATTTCCACTGCCTTTGAGCACACTTTCCTCCAAAATTACCACACATTTGAAATTTTCCAGAGTAGGTGGTGAGATTGAAGATTATTATTCCTTTAACTATTCTGTGGAAAATCATTTTACTCAGAAGAAAATAGAGGAGTAATGGAAGGAAAGTGGAAAGTGCTATCATCAGTTAGGAAAGAAGTAGTCATGCAGTTTCACATGAGAGCTTCTAAGACAATGGGTCAGTTATCAGAGTTTTGCAGCATCGTCTGACACAGCAGTTCACACTGAGACTAGGAAGTGTCACTGCCAAGTGCAATAGGTAGAGCATGGGTTTGACAGTAGGTCAGAATTTAGATCCATGCCAGTCATGAAAATTGTAGCAAATTGCATAACTGTAAGAATCTCAGTTTCTTCGTGTATAAATGGGAATCATAATATTCATACATTTGCTCTGGCTTAGAGACATAAATGTTCAAAGAGTGGTAATCTTAGCACTGTGATTCACATCTCTCCTTACTTGCCCCATCACATGTTGGCAGTTTTACATACAGCCTCAGGGAGGCTGTGGAGAGGACAAGCAAAGAACTCTATGTTGAGAAGTGGTGGCAAAGACCCTTGCTCACCATTCATCTGCACACGCCTTTTCAGTGGTAAGAAAGAGGCAGAGAACTGGCCATGTCCTTATTCTCCAAGGACTTGAAGGACCAGGAGACTCAGAGTTACAGAATGTAGGAGTTGTTTTGCTTTTTTTTTTTCCAGAAATACATCCTACTGCATATCTTATCTAGAGCTAGTGTGGCACAACCAACCATCCCTGTTTGCCTCCACGGGGTCTCACTCTTGAATCCCTCAGTTGCAAGCACACAAACCCGTTGGTGCCATCCCTCCCATTACAATGATGAAAGTCACCATCAGGAAGGCCCACTGGGGTTGCTGACAGTGTGCGGCAGCATAGTGGGGTGGGAGTAGCTTGTTGGATGGTTTCAGATAAACTCTGCCAACTCAAAGAATTCACCCTATTCCATTTCTTTTTATTTTCAGGTCAGGAAGTGTGGACACCAACTGGATACATGTATATGGCTTCGTAGAGGATTTCCTCAAAAAATTTGACAAGTATGACTTCTCTGTGTGGCGGGGCTTTTGCAGTGCCAGGCAGAGTGCTTGTCTGCTTAGACCCAGTGGGCATGGGTGTCACTTGGATCAGCAGCATGAAGCCCCAGGTGGAGTTCTGAAGCAGTCCAAAATGCGGTTCACTCTGGTTCCATCAGCTCCAAAGGTCCTAGAGACTTCAGGTGTTTCCAGTCTTGGTGTCAAGTCACAGTCTAGGGAATATTAGATGAATTGAGGAGGTCATAGATCATAAACCAGGGTAACCAGTAAGGCAGTCAAAAACACTTGTTTAAATAGTTCCAAAGGAAATGGTAAAGAACCCTCATGGCAACTTTAAAGAAAAAGAATTCCTAGAGAAAATCTCAAGGATGGATTTCCCACAGGACATGGACATTTGAACTAGGACTGTTAAGAATGAGGAAAGACAGGGTAACAAGAACCATCCGGGAGACTTCCTGTGGAGAGAGTGATCTGTTTAGGGGAGAGAGGGGTTAACTCACAAAGGAATGGAATTGAGTCTGGGACAGGGCAGCTTGGGGTCAAGGGCAAAAAGACTCTTACAGCCAAGCCAAGGGGCCTCAATTGCTGTGAGCAACAGGAAGTTATAAAAGACTCTCGGGCTGAGTGTGGGTGATGAGGATTGTGCTCCAGGAAAACTGATAACGGTGGGTAAAATGAGTGGGAACAAGAGCCAGGAGCACAGGGAGCACAGCAGGGACTATGGTAATAATCTAATAATGGGCAAAGGGGGCCTGTGACCCAGAAGACCGTGGGCAGGGAGAGGAAAGGGACAGAGGAATGTGAATGAGTGGCAAAGGGGACAATAATTTCTCTTCGATGGGAGGGAGTAAGGAAACATAGACCAATAGAGAAAGGCCATGAGTTTCCAAAACAAGTTACAGTAGAAGAGAGGCTACTTGTGGGTAGGCGTAGGGACTTACACCTAGTATGTGAGGCATAAACCATGCATGTGTGTGTGTGTGTGTGTGTGTGTGTGTGTGTGTGTGTAAGAGAGGGATAGTACAATAAAGGTTGGGATCTGGAATGAAACAGGACACCACCCTGACAGTCTCCCTGGAGAGCCACACATTTGATGGCCTCAGACTCCTTTATTAAATTTATTGTAACTTCTGGAACTCAGCAAGTGCTCCCAGGATAGAGTGAAGTGAAGACAGGCAGGTGTCCCCTCCCTGGCTGCTCATGGGCATCACTAAGAGCCTGTGTTTATGACTCTCACAAACATGTGCTTCCTCCCCAGCCCAAACATGCGGGTCTCAATCGTCACCTACTCCACACAGGGCGACACCGTCCTAAAGCTCACCTCGGACAAGTAAGTTCATCTTCACTCCCTCAAGGCAGACCTTAGTGGCACTGGCAGGGGGGCAGACAGAGGCCACAGGGAAAACTCTAAAGACGGTCCTGAGTTTCAGTCAGGAGCCCTCATGCTTGCGTCCTGGGCTGGCCTGGTTCCCCTTCAATGTCTACCCTGACCCCCAGCCTCTACTCCCAGCCCCTCTGATAAAGCCTGCATTCTCACCGGCAACCCCTGTGTTTCTAGACAATCTCTGCCCCTCCAGCCCTGTCCTTCCCCTGTCCCAAGTCCTCGCCTCAGTGACCTTCCCTTTTCTTAGAACGGGATATGTGAGGATTCCGGAGACTGATGGAGCAGACATGAGGGTCCTTTATGAACATGGCCCTGATTGGGGCACCTGTGACAGTGGGGAAGAGGGAGACAGAGAAGGACCAGGCAGAATTCATGGGGGCTTCAGCGTGGGGAGCTTAGCTCCGGGATGGCATGAGTGTGACCTGAACACCAGGAGGGCTGCATGTTTGAGGAGGTCTGACAAATGCATCCCAACTGGGCATAAGTGGTCCCAGAACTGTGCCCAAAGACCCAAAACTGGGAAGTTCTGAATAGCTGGAAGAATAAGGGTCTCATATAAAAAATGTGATGACATTTTAAGAGAAGTGGGGCTGGCTGAGCATCCCAGGACCTGGCATCATTGCCATGAGCAGAGCTGGGAGTGGGGTGTAGGGGAAGTGCAGGGAGAACCTTGGCCACAGTAAAGGTTATTGAGCTTGGTGCCGGGTTGCAGGTCCAGGTAGGTGCGGTCAACACAACAAAAAAATGTCCAAAAAAGCAAGAGAAGGAGAGACTTGCTGGGCGGGTCAGAACTTTGTTTGACCTCCACTTATCATGGTTTCTGGGCCCTTACCTGCCAGGGCTGGGCCATGCAAGGATGCACCTGAGACTATCAGACCTTGTCCCATGGCAGTAGTTCTGTCTGAGGTGAGAAACCATTCTTCATGAAGCCCAGCTCTCCTCAACCTTGCGGTGCCAGCTAGATCTTCAGTTTCAATCAGGCTGATCTGAGCTCCCACTCCAAATTTTGTTCCAATTCTACCTGCTATCTACTTTAGCAGTGGGTCAAAGGTGACAACACAGTTGCCGTTTACATCTCACTGCTCTTCTGCCTGCATAGACAGCAGTTAAGTCCCCTTCCCTGGCCTTAGGTCCTTTCTGTCAGGAGATCTTGAAATCACAAAGTTCAACACTCAAAGAACCTTCGCTACTTCCTTCAGAATGAATCCTAAAGGGAAAGAGGCTGTGTGTTCCAAGTCACCCTCAGTGGTCCAGGGCAGGAAGGAAGGGACAGAGCAGGGGTATTGCCAGGGTGACCCTTACCAAAATCAGCCTTGCCTGGTAGAGGGTGATGAGCCCCACTGGGGACCCCTGAGGAGCTGGCAGTCCCATTTAGTTCCAGGTTCACACTAGCGCAGTCACAACTGCTCCCCACTCTGCCTGTTGTTGGTAAGACAGCCCCTTCATGAAGCCCTCTGGGGCTGTGAACCTGATACAGTAATGAGTACAAAGAAGGTCAATTTCAAAGACTCCGGCCTAAGGGCCATGGCAGGCTTCCTGACTGTGGCCTCCCTCGTCCGGGTTGGTCTGCCCAGTGCAGAATGTGCCAGCACAGATGGGGCTGTTTGAGAACACTCCACCCTTCTTCCTACTTCAACACTCCATTTCATTGTTTTTAGAAAAGAAATCAAAGACGGTCTCAATAGACTACGCAACACAGTGCCTACCGGAGCCACAAACATGCAGGAAGGATTTAAAGCGGTACAGCCAGAGCTCTAAGAATATTTCCTGCTTTAGCAAGTGCTCGGAATATCACTGAGTCCTCTCAACATGCCTTCCTGTTTTTGCAGGTCAATGAGCAGATCGCCAACGCAAACTCTGGAGGTAAGCTCTGCTGACTTCGAGACTGTCGGATCCTGGACAGTCAGGCCGGGGAACCAGCAGTCTGGTGGCCCCCACTTGGAGCTGACTCTCGTGCCAGTTTCCTACCCAATATGCACTTCAGGCTCCTCGTCTGTGCACAGAGGAGAAAAGCCAGCCCTCCTGATGATTCTGAGACTTGTGGGCTCCTGGGTGTACATTATTGATGTTTATTAAGTATGAGGCACCTGACATACAGGTGAGCTTGTGGAAAAGGGAGAAAGGCCAGGGCACCTCAAGCAGACAAGACTCCACTTATGGCAGAAAAGAACTTGATTTTTCCCTTGCTGACCACACTCTGCCACGTTCCCATGGCTGGAGCTGCCTCCTTCCCCTTCATCATCTCCCGCTGCTGATGCTCCTCCTGCACTTGTGTGTCCCCAGGACTAGCAGCTGTGTCAGTCCAGCACCATCTCCATTGGGACTGAGTCTGTAGGGTGGATGCTCCGGGCACAACAGGTGGAAGTGGGGAGACTGTGGGGCAAGGCTTACAGCAGGACTCAGTGTCCACTCCCCAAAGACCTCTGACCTCAGTTTCTGACTCACTGGCCCTAAGGGGCCAGCAGGTGTGCCCCAGCCTCCTCTGAGCCTGCGGGACATCTGTTTCAGTCGGGTGGGTGTGCTCCCGCATTGCTATTGGGAAAGGTGTCATTTGTCCAGTGAAATATCTGGATTTGCCTCTCAGGGTAAAGCCTCTGCCATCTGTAGCAGTGAAAATCCAGTAAGAAAAGTCCTCAGCCAGGCTCAGGCTCCAACTCTGTAAAGTGAGTGGCTAAGGTGTCTTCTCCCTCCAGGCAGCTGCTCCACAACCCTCAAGGTGCTCAGGAATGGGGGTGCTGGGGTATGGCAGCTTCTCCCAAGGGGAGGAAGCTGGGGGCAGTGCTGTGGCCCTCTCACTTGTGGCATTCTCACTCTGAGAACTTTTACTAACCAGGCCACTCCTGCTTCTCCCACAGGAGAGAAGGTTCACTCCATGGTTATCTCCCTGACTGATGGAGCACTGACGCCAGAGGCCTTTCAGGAAACCAAGAACGAAGTGAGTCCAGCCCACCTTTACCAGCTTTTACTCCACATGTTCAGTGATTTGCACTTAACACAGTCTTTGTCTTAGGCTCGGCTGACTCGACAAATGGGAGGGACTGTTTACGCTTTAGGTGTAAACACCTACAGGAAATATCAGGTAATTCAGAACAGGAGCCAACTGAGAAGTCTCATTGTGGGAGCTCTGGAAGGGCCACCCAGAGGATGGTTCTCTAACTCACTCACTCCAAATAACTGGACAACATGTGACCACTGCAGAAATGAGTAACAGTGTTGTATGAGCCCACAGACCTGGGGAACAGGTAGAATTTTCCAATCCAGAAAGTTGGGCTGCTGGCGAGGCCAGGGTGGGGCACTGAGTCTCACATGGCATGAAGCCCGAGCCTAAAGACTGGGATGGGGTCCCCTGCCCCCTCACCCTGCTGTGGGTCTAAGGCTTCTGCTCCTCTTGTAGCTCATGGATATTGCGGACAGCAGGAAGCACGTGTTTGGTGTGGACACTGGATTTGCTGATCTCAGGAACGTCGCTGACTTCGTGAGAAAGGGGTGGTGCGGGGGGGTGGGATGAGGTGGCTCTTACCATGCCCACTTTCCACTTTTCCTGACCGAACCACTCTCTGTTTCAGATCGCAGATATGTCCTGCATTGAAGTCACAAAAATGGAACCGACCGAGTACTGTATGGGAGGTAAGAGCTGAGTCCTTATTCTAAAGAAAGGCATGTATGTTTGCGTGTGTTGTACATTGTGCTTGGATGTGTGTGATGGATGTAGTGTAAGTTTGTTGTTTAAATGTGTGTGATGTGAATACATACATGTAAATGCTCTTTATTCCCAGTTTTCATGAGCTAAAGTTGACATACAGTTCTATGTAAGTTGAAGGTATATCATATAACAGTTTGACATATAAAAGTTGAAATGATTACCACTTTAAGTTAGTATAATTCATTTTTTAATCACAAAATTAAAGTTTAATTTAAAAAAGAGGAAAAATATATTTTAAAATCCCTAAAGAAAATACTAGCAATGAAACCCAACATCTCACAAGTAAGTAAAATACTTCAGAGCAAATTTGGGATCACGCCAGAAATGCAGGACTGATACAGTTATTGAAACATGAGTGTAATTCATCAGCAAAATGAAAAAGAGAAAATGATGATTCCAGAGGATGAAAAAAAGAACTAGACCCTGCTCAATGTCCAGTGTCTTGATAGGAACATAATCTTACCATCATCCCTCCACACCAACACTCCCAGCTGACACCATCCTCAGGGTAATAGGGGAAGGCCTCTCCTGAGAGCTGGACCAAGATAAGGATGCCCACTCTCCCAGGAGATCCTGAAGCTCTGTGGTGAGGAGGTCCAGGCACTACTTTCTGCTAGAAGGCCTCTCTCGTTGAGAGCCTGTGAGTGCAGGTTGTGCTGTCCCACCTTGGCAGCATTGCTCCACAGGTAACCACACCCTTCCCTAGCAATAGCACACAGCCTGACCTGCTACATCCAGACCCAGTCAGCTGGCTCTGCCTCTGTACCCTTGCAAGGAAGGCTGGAGCACCCTGACCTGGGTCAGAAGAACGCTTCCCATGGCCAGCCACCTGGAGCAAGGGACCCATGTTTCTGAAGACACTTGAAGGCCTACAAAGCTAATCAGCAGATCAAACTCTGTCCACAGCACTAGAATCTATTTTCTTCAAAGCAAAGAATTTACAAACATTGCCTTATGATGGCTGGAGGAAGCCCTGATCCAAGAGAAATCCAAACTGCCAAGTTCAAGATTGTGTTGTCATTTCAAGAACTGGTTCCTCCAGTTAATTAACTGAATCCATTGGGCATATCAAGCACAGGCCAGTGGAATTAGCTAGATATAAGACTGAGGCATCAGTCTCAGCAAGAAGCAAGAAGGCCTTCATAGTACCCTGTCTAAATCCCTGCAACCAAACCCGTAGCTGCCGTCATTGCGTCCCCGGATATTTATTCCAAGGGAAGAGATCCCATGTGTCCAATCAAGGAGTAGGACAGGATGTCCCTTAGCAAATCAGTCCCCACCACACTGCAAAAGGAAGAGCTTTCCATGAGTCCCTAGGTAGGGAAGTTAGGAGGCCCCAGAGGGTCAGTAAGAGGAGGAACAACAATCATCTTCAGGGATCTGCCTCATAGCTAAGGGAAGGGGGATTCTTTGGTACAGGATCAGCTGCTCCTTGCTTGTCTCACCAGGGTCCCACCTTATTCCTGAGCTCACCAGTCTGCCATAGGCACACAAAAAGGTGGTGAAGAGAAACAGACCCCATACATCAAATAATTTCACAAGCAACCAGGCCAGGGTGCTCAGTTCAAGCAAGAGACAAAGTGGCACAACCTGTGTTGTCTCACGCCGATCTTGTTTAAGATGGCAGTCTGGTAGAGGTTAGAGAACACTGCCTGCACCCCTTAGGGAGCCTCAGGACTTAAAGATTGAAAACCCACATTGGGTTATTTATGGAGACGGGACTAGGTGGAACCTTGAATGGGCTGTGCAGGTTAGCAGCTGTGGTGAGAGTGCCCGAGAGCTCAGCCCAGCGTCCTCACAGTGGCCCCTCAGAAACACCAGGTGAGCCTCAGGAGACACAAGATGTTTGTTCAGAACATCTGTCTCCTCCAGGAGTCCCTTGGGGGCTCCATACTGGGGGCACACTGCCATAGTATGAGATATGGAGGCAAAAGAACTCACCCCTCCTTACAAACACCTTTGGATGTTGCCCTTGCAGAAAACTTTGATGTAACCATCCTTGGAAGAGGTTTTCATAACACCAAAAACATAAACCAAGTTCTTTGCAGAATTAAGATAAATGACAACAGATTTTTTGGTAAGTACCTTCCTTGATTTGTACAAGTAAAAAATTTCCCACAGATGCTGTCTCTCTCAGCCAACATGCCTCCAAAACCCTTGATGCCCATTCCCTGTGGGTGCTGTGAGGATAGAGGCAGTACCGAGAGTGGAAGGAGGGACGTGGGTGGGACCCGTCCATCCCCAGAGCCGCGAAAGTGTCATGTCAGGGCTGCTCCCTGCGAGGAGGGTCTTCCCTCAGAGTTGCATCCCCTGCGCTTTCCTCATCTCTCACTTTCCTTGGGAAACAAGGACCCCAAACTCACGAGTCTACCAGGTGAAATGGAAGCAGTCCTGGGCACTGAGTTCAGGCGAGGTGCACTGGTAGCTTTCCCAGGAGGGTGTATTCCTCGTCAATTGAGAGAGGAGGCCAACACCAGGTCCAGGTCCTGGGATCTGGCACAGGCACACATTACCTGTGTGATCATGACCATGTGGATGTTCCCTTCTTGCTCTGTTTTCTCTGATATAAAAAAGAAGCAATATATTAGCTGCAATTTCTAAGCTTTATGATATATGTAAGCCCGTTGTCTGCAGAAACTTTCCCATCTGTGTACCTCCACGGTGGAGGGGTGGCCTGAGGGAGCACACAGCTAGGACAGGCCAGTGTCCCGACCTGCTGCTGAGGTGGGTGTGATCATCCCTACTGAATGTCTGGGGTGCAGTTGGACTTCCTGAAACCCTCACTCTCCCAGTTAGCTTCTGAAAATGTCATTTGATCTGATATTCAGTGACTCTCTATTGCAGGGTCATCTGGTAAACCTAGAGCAACTCCTTTCCCCCAGCACACTCCTACCCCAATCTCCTTGCTTCTATGTGTGCAAAGAAGAGAGCAGAGAGTGCCGCTGCCACACCCAACCTCACAGTGTGTAGCTGGCCTCAGGGAATTGGATTTCCTTCCATCTATACTCTCCAGAGTGATGCAGGGTCTGAGAACTCCTTCATATAGAAGAAATGCATTCTCGGTGGGTGCATGTTCTCAGGACCAATCCTGATTCTCAAAAGAGACCTGTTATCATTGCTCTGTATGGGTCTGCACCTGAAGCAGGGTCAGCTGAAGACTTGCCCAACATCATGAACTGGTGAAGGAAAAGATGGACAGTAACCCAGGTTATCTGACTGTCTCTGCTGGGCTTTGTGCCTTGCCCAGATGGACGTTAGGCTGGGTCGGTGGGTCCTATCTGTCCAGCAGTGATACTGATACTGCCCGTGGATGCACTTCTTTCTCGTGAGGGGATTGCCAGTTGTGTCCCCAAGCTGCACCAGTGCCAGGGCCTCCCAGGGGAGAGCCCACCCCACAGTCCTGGGCCCTCTGCAGAATGCCATCTGCTCCTGCCAGAGGCACCAGAGCAGGTGGGCTGGGCTGTTTGCTGCATGGAGTCTGATGCACTGATGAGAACTGATTTAGGTGTTTTGGTTTTTTTTAAACATTCTTTTTTTTTTTTTAGATTTATTTATATATTTATACAAGCACTGGGTATAGTCAGAAGCATGGGAGGGTGAGAGAATTCACCAGAGCCAGAGCTGGGAACAGAACAGGCAGAATGATGAAATACACTGCTGAGGGGAGCAGCGGACGGCAGGAGACATCTGGGTGCCATCTGGGACCCTTGCCCGGAGGCCGGGGATCAAACCGCCCAGTGCTCAACCGATGCGCCACCAGGGGAGACCCTGATTTAGTTGTTTTTGGTAACATTTTGCTCTAGGAAAACATGCAGGAAAATATTTTAGAAAATATAAATAAGTATAACTAAATTTAAAATCAATGCTTCATTTTTTCTTCTTAACTGCCTTTATTGTGTAATGTTTGATGATTTCCATGGTAGTTTTTTTAATGCGGCAACTGAAATATTCAGTTTGGCCAGTTAATCTTGGTTGAAAACTCCTCTGTAGTCCTCCATGCTTTGATGAGCCCTCGGTATGCAGGTGCCGGCCATCACCTGCTCCTCCTGGCTCTGGACTGTGGACACCCGACGGAGGTCAGTCAAGAAAGCACGTCTTTTGGCGTATTATTTCCTCTCTATCCTGTCCATTCCTTGCCTACCTTTTGGATAATAGACAAACCCCACCCTCTAGCACACATGATGGCTATTTCACTCTCATTACTAAAAAAGGAAGAAGAGAGACAGAGGTTCATAGCAGATGCACAATTTAGTGCCAAAAAGCTTATCCATGTGGGAATGTACCGTAGGTCAGAACAGCCCTGACGTATGACAGAGGAGAGAAAAACCTTAGTAGTTCTGAGATTAATACTGAAAATGACACACAGTACAAAGCAGGGAAATCAAAAGAATAAAAACATGACGCCACCCCACGTCTAACAACAAGTACCTTTAACACTCTTAAATGCCACATAGTAAAGCCTCATTTTGTTTGATGCATTGATAGAAAAAGAAACAGGTAGAAATGAAGAAATTGTTGGGTGTGACACAATGTTTCTTCATGAGACAAATTTCGAAAAGATGCTCCTAATGTTAAATAGATGCTTTAAAAACGTGAAGATATTAGGGCTATACGTGGAGAATTTTTTGTTTGATTTTGTCTGTTTATGTTTGCAGCGTCTGTCTGTGACACCTGCCTCCTGTCTTATCAAAATTAAAGAATACACCTAAACTGAGAACAAGTCTATTATTTTGGAATTAGAAAAACATTTAAAATGCACTCCACTTTTAGAAAGATGTCTCCTGAGCTGTGCCTGGAGGCCAGGCCTGCCCCTGAGCATGGCCCCTCCTGCAGCACTTCCTCCCCTCCTGCTGTTCACAGTCTCTGGGTGCAGGTCTGGGTTCCCCCGATCCAACTGAGAGCCACAGCCAGCCTGCATCTGTCTGCAAGTGCAGAGCTGTGGTTCCAACTAGGGTCTTGAGAAGCCCGAGTAAACAGAAGCCAAGGAAAGGACTGTTCTCTGGTAGCATTGTGGTCAAATCCAAGAGGCCCTCAATTGTGAATCACAGAGGGGAAAAGTGGGATCCTGCGGAACTGGGCCAGTGTGCGTGGAGTGGTAAATCAGCGCACAAAGGCAGCTGGGCCTTCTCCACTCAGCCAGAGTTCAGGGATGTAAAAGACCAGGTATTCAGAAGTGAGCAGACCCCACAACTACAAGTTAAGGGACATCTTAGAGCCTCGTGACTGCCATGCTTCCACAATGTAACACAAAAGGAAATGAAGAAAATCACTGTCCCCTCCTCAGAAATCCCCTATCTCATAAATGGCACCACCATCACCCACTTGAGCTGGTCAAACCCTGCATGTCATCCTTGATCCCTCTTTGCTTTTATCCCCATATTCAGTCCAGGGTAGGCCCTATTTCTTCGATGTCAACAGCATGTGCTGAGATGGCTCACCCCTCAACAGACTCATTGTCCTTAGATTAAAACCCGAACTCTTCCAGGACCAAGAGTTCCTGCCCACCTTCTTCTTCCTTCTGGGACAAGGTCAGGTAGTGCTGCCTCAGGGTTTGACGCATGCTGTACCCACAGGGCAGAACTCTGCCCTGGGATCTTGCCCTAAGTTTGCCCTCATCACATTCACCTCAAGGATAGCTCCCACAGAGAGAACTTATTTCTAATTTTAAAATGTTCAATAATGTAGGACTATAGAAATATTGAAAAATGAAAGTGAAACAGCATCAACTAATTTAGTAATTATCAAAATAGGACAAACAATTATTTAAATACCAGTGTGATGAAATTTTCTGTATAATTATTTCTTTCCCTAAATTTACTTGTTGTCAGTGCCTGCCTCATTCTGTGTCCAACACTGTTCATTAATGTCACAGTTTTAATTCTCTGGCTTTTATTTAATTTGTTTGTGTTTTATTGCCTGCTTTCCTGCCAGTCCCATAAACGTAAGCCCTGGAGAGCCGGATCCCATTCAATGCAGGCCATAGCCCTTGCTGGTGCGGGCAGCTTCTGAGAGGGCAGAGAGGAGACGCTGCATCTGACCCGCAGAGCTGCACCAGCCAAGGGCAGGCAGACGGGAGCGGGGGTGGATGGGCACGTCCACTGACTTTCTTCCTGTCTCATTTGCTTTAGATATAAAAGCCACCCAGGTGGAAGACACCAGCATAAAGTGTCCGGGAGCCAAGATAGAGGAAGCAGCCAAGTAAGTGCCACTCTGGGACAGGCAGGCATTTTTGCCCCAGAAGATGCAGAATGTGGGGCACCTCTGCTGGGCAGCATGTGACGTGCTCTGGGAGGCTTCAAGGCATCGCCTGACCTGCCCATCTTGGTGCTCCCCCAATGAGCTCAGGGATCTGCTGTGCTCCAGCTACTGCTGAGGACAGGATGTGGAAGATGAGAGACCCAGGGGGGCTACTCTGCACCCAACAGCCTTCAGAGCGGAGCCAGCACAATGAAAATACATACGAGTCAGGATGGTGACACCACACAGCCTCCCTGGTCAATGAGCTCGTGACCACAAAGCATCTGACCCCATGCAGAGTCCCTCACTGGTCATCCTCATCACTGAGGTGGACCTCATGGGACTTGGGGTGGAGTCTCCTCCCCAGGCTGTCTGCCCTCCAGTAGCCCCAAATGTCTGATGTTCAGACCTGTCACAATGGGAGAGCTGTGGGCTATGGTTCGAGCAGAAACCAAGAGCTGTGCCGACCTGCACCTGTGGACACCATCTTTCCTTTCTGTGTTTAGCAATATCTCTGTTGAAGTGAGCCTGAACAACGGTGCCAGCTTCATCAGCAACGGGCTCAAGATCAACATCAAGGACTGTGGGGGTGACAAGGTAGGTACATGGTCTCCCTCTGGGCTGCCCAGAAGCCTGCCCTGGGGAGGGAGTCATGCTAGGGAGGCAGAAGAGAGGACCAGTGCCCAGGACAGGCCCTGCATTAGCAGATGCCGACAGGATGGGCAGCTTCTCCCAGTCAGGACTCAGCTCAGCACGGGGCACCTGGGAAGGAAGGTAACAGGCCCCTTCCTATCTCCTGTGTGTCCATCTGCACTGTGTCTGCACATCCACTCAGACCAGCCAGAGGACTCACATCAGCCCATCAGGAGTCCCACCAAGGCAGAGCTCATCTGTTATGGGGCACATTAGAAAAGCTCTCAGGAAAGCCTCCAGGCTGGGCACAGCACCGCAGTTCAGCAGTCCTGACCTTGCTGTTCTCTCTGCCACCCTGGTCCATGGGACCCAGCCCCTCTCACATCCCCTCGCATTGCCTGCTGCTCTGAGCAGAGACTGGGTCCCACCTAAGAACCACTCCTCCTTTGTTCGGAATGACGGCAAGACAGCCCCTTCCTTAGCCCCACAGGGACCCTGCCCGTGCCAGGACTTTGATGACCCTCCACACCTCACGACCCTCTCACCTCCTGCTCACATGTGGACGTGGAGGCTCAGAGAGACTGAGGAGCTCAGCCCACGGCTGCAAGGCCAAGAGAGGGAGGCCATCAGGTGCAAAGGACCTGGGTTTCCTGCTCTGTTCTTGCAGCCCCACCTCTCAATAGGTGCTCCTGTACCCCCACCCTCCCTCAGAAACCCATCTGTGTATCTGTTCAATATTGTGTCCCTGCACTGTCAGCCAGGGCATGAGGTAGGGGCTGGGCTGGTCACTCCTCAAGGATTTTGGTTTCCTTGACAAGACTCTGGGCTGAGCCTCTGAGCACAGCTAGTGGGCGGGTGTGCCCCACCTCCATGGTGGGCGCTGAGTATAGTCGGGCCCAGGATTTGTGTTCCATCCAGGTGGCAACCTGCAGAGAATGGGAGTGGGCTGACGGGAGTCTAGGGTGCTTGCACGGTAGTGGGGGTCTAGGAGGCCCCAGGCCCACACTCCTGGTCTGTGTGCTCTCTGCAGAATGTGGGAGTGAACTATTCAGTATCAACAACGACAGTGAAAACTCCAGTATCAACAACAGTGAAAACTCCAGTATCAACAACGCCAGTGAAAACTACAGTATCAACGACAGTGAAAACTCCAGTATCAACAACGCCTGTGAACTATCCAGATGCAACAATGGCAGTTCCCGAAAAAGGAACAAACATTCAGTTTCCCGATATCAACTTTTATCATTTGTTAATGGTCGTAGGAATAATTTTAATACCGCTGGTGATCTGGTTGCTGTGGAGATATTTTTTCGAAAAGGTAAGTGCCCCAACGTGCACACCTCCCTGAGCAGCACACCTCCCAGACAACTACCCTAGAGACCCTTCATGTGCTGCCCTGGGTCTCTGCTGCTCCCTCAGCGCACAGTCTTCAAGGAGCAAAGGGAGACACAGGCTCTGCCCTCCATTTCTTGGCAGAGAGATGACCTGGCAGGGGCTTCCTGCCTCGTGCTTGCACAGCCTGTGGTCTATGGGCTGCCTGGTCCCTGGGAAGAAGGGCCCAGAATCCCGGGTAGGGCTTCCTCGTGGCCCCCAGGCTCTAAAGGACTCAGGTGGACAGGAGGCTACAGGAGGACACTGCTGTTGAGGAAAGAAGCAGGGGACCTTCAGGGACACAGAATGAGCAGAATTCCCAAGCTCTGGGCAGCTGAGCTTTAGAAATCAACACGGTGTCTGCACATCCCCAGTGCTGCTTCCACCTCCCAACATCTTCTTTCTGAGTAATGGGGTGCTGACCATACTGGGCACACAGGGACAGAAAGGAAGTGGTACAGCAGCTATAGTCTGGGGTCTGGGCCGGTGTTGGTAACTGGGCAGGCATGAGGCGGAGAACACAATGCCACCATCTGGGGACCACATGCTCTCATAGAGGAGAGCAATAGCAGAGGACAGTCAGCAGGGAGGAGGGGGCAGCAGAGCATGGTGGTGGCAGCAAGGACACTGCTGGATTGAGAGAGGTAGGAGCATAGGGGAAGGCACAGCAGCAGCTGGGAACAAGCAGGGCCTAGAATGTATCGTGTCCCGTCAGTTAACTGAGGAGTCAGGTGCTTGGGAAGATGTAGCCTGCTGGCCACAGACCGAAAGGGTGGGCACCCACAGTGATACCCAAAACCACGTCCTCACTCACCACCACTGAGCAGAGTCCCCTCCTGCCTGTGTGGACTGGCCAGAGCCCTGCACAGCCCTTTCATCCTGTGTATGTCTCTTTCACTTTCTAGAACAAGGAGCTGGTGGGAGTTATGCTTTTGTTTCTGAGGCCCACACAGACCTTCACAAACAGGCCTCCTGAGCTGTGGGATATTTCTACTCCCCACCCCACCATTGCTACCTACAAGCACAGAGAGAGCTAGAAGTATACAGGGTGACAGAGGGCCAGGGAGGAAAACCTGGGAAGACCTAGGACTCACAAAATGTCATCAGACAACACCCTCTCCATGCTCCCAACAGTCTGACTGGAGCCTCCATCACATTACCAAATAGCAGTAGCCTGTATCAGCAAGTGCCATGATCCACAGTGACATGAACTTATTTTTCATTTTCTCAATTCTCCAAGATTGATCATTGGCTGGTCCTTCCCTGGGTTAAGTGAGCAGTTGGAAAAGGAACCTCAGGGTTCCAGTACTTGCCACCCTCCTGTAGTCTGACCCTGTTGGGTTGCATTTCTTTGAGCTCCTCCCTGTCTCCTGGCAGGTTGGGGATGGACTGGGCTTGTCCTTTGGGGACTTCAGGGCTGAGGAGGTGAAGGGAGTCTTACCTGGCATGAGCTGTGAGGAAGGCCCAGCCCACATGCACTGGGAGCAAGGGTCAGCTGAGCTGCCTATGGCTTACCTGGGTGTGGAGGCCCAAACAGGACCCACAGAATTTGCACAGCAGGGCCACTGTGACCAATATGGAGGAAAACGAGGAAGCCGGCCCCACTCAGAGGTTGGCCTCAGTGCTGCTGCACTGTGGTCAGGGAGGCTGCATCTGCCAACACCAGGCCAATCAGCCTCTGCTGATGTTCCACCCCATTGTCCACCTCTACATTGCACAGCCCCAAGACCAGACTTCTTCAAAGGGCAGCCCCAGGGAACCCAGGGTACAGGAAAAATTTGTTGTCCTTTTGGGGAAGGATCATCCTTGCAAATTATGTAGAGGTTGCTTGTGCTTCCCATGGAGTGCCTCCCTTGCAGTACAGGATCCTGCTAACTCAGTGTCCTTGAATCTTCCCTATAAGCCTGAGCTGAGGGGCCAGAATTTGACAGGTGCTGGGGCAACACCTCTTGTGTCTGCACCCCAGAACTGCCAGACAAGAGCTTTCTCTTCCTAGGAAACCTGTTCAACATCATGCCCTATGGTGCTGGTCCTTTGTGGTGCGCACAGAGATCAAAACGTAAAACACCAAGAGGTGAGAAGTGTCCTTTGGGAGGGAGCTGTGGCTAGGTTGGGGCTGCAGAAGGAGAGATACAGACAGGGTGGGTCCAGAAGGTGTGGCGTGGATGGACATGAGTGTTCAGGGTACTGAGTTTGCTCCCTTGGCTCCAGTACCAGGCTCTCCCTCCCTGGACCCACATTTATGGAATTGGTGACTACACAGAGGTTCTCATCAGCCTCAACAATGACTTGGGTTCCCTGAGCAGTAAGAGTGGGTTAAAACAAAATCACAAGGTTCCTGAAGGTCAGAAAATAAAAGAAGGAATTTCTGAGTCTACTTCTTTCCCCCATTAAGTGGACATGCTGGTGCACCTGCAGCCCTCAGAGGTCGGCTCAGCAGAGGGAGGGAAGGAGCCTCTGCCTTGTCCTCCTGCCCTCACCCGGGGTGACAAGGGCCTCAGGGAGGAGGAGCCTGAGGGAATGTCCTTCCCCAGGAAGTGCTGGGCCCGCCCTGCTGAGTCACAACCGAACACTGGGGGCCCCCACCACAAGAATAGAGTCCAGATGGCTGGGGTGGAGGAAGAAACAGCCCACAATTTCTGCCTGGCTTTGCCCCTCCTCCTGGTCCTGCCTCTGTCCTGCTTGGGCCATGGCTTCCTCCAGGAGCTTCTATGGCATCAGGAGATCCAGCCCTGCCTTCCTCTCAGTGTGCGACACAGCAGAGCCCAAAAACTTTCCAGAGAGGAGGAAACCCTGATCAAGGACTCATTCCTGTTCACAGGACATGGCTCCCCCTCTGAAAACACCAGGGCGGAGCTGGAGTGCAGGGTCCAGAACTCCCCTAGGATCCCCCACCAGGCATCCAGGTCACTCTCGATCGGTCCTGAGGCTCCTGTTCTCTCTACCCTCCGTCAGCAGGACCCTGCACACTGACAGGGCATGGAGCCCCTTCCCTGTCTTCCCTGGTGGACCTCACAAGTGCAGGCCTCCTCCTCCCTTCCTTCTAGCTCCTTCCCAGGTACCCTGCTGGCACCTCATGTTCCATTCCATGACATCTCATATCACATCCAGCCTTGTGATTTAACTCTACTAGTAGCAACTGGCTTGTCCTCAGAAAATACTAATTTGTTCCAGATGCCTGAACAATCCCTGACCCACATCCTCACCCCCCCCCCAAAATATAAGTAGCTCCCAGGCCCATTGCTGTACGTAGAGTCCACAATTCTGTCCCAGGGAGTTTGTGGGGACGGAGATCAGGTGCTTTTGGGAACTGGAGGAGACACTGTCTCACTGGAGGCAGCTATCATGTTCAGAGACTCCTCAAGGCCCTTCTGTTTTTCAGAGAAAACTGGAAAGTTGTTGCACAATTTTCAACGCTGCAACCCAGGCCCACTGATGAGATGTTAGCCCAGGCACAAGGTAAGCAGGACGAGGTATGCTCCCTAAGGACAGGCCCATGCTTTTTTCCTTGAGAGCTGCCATCTGGGACTGTGGGGTGCAGCATCTGTCATGAAGAATGTCTTAAGACAGGACACATGGTGCCCAGGAGCCTACCAGTTGATCTCGACAGGGACTGTTTGTTTTCCTTGAATTCATCTCAAAGATGGCAGGAGACAAATCTACAACATTACCCAGCGCTTCGCAATTTAAATAAAAAGGCTGGAAACAGTCAGATGGGGAGTGCTCGGTGCCTCCATCCCCACCCAGCACCAGGCGAGCCCTGCTCCGCTGTCCTGGACGTGGCCACACTGCTCCTGCCTGCACAGAGCACCCGGTGTCCTCTGGCTGTGCACATGGATGATCCCCTCACCACACTCCTGTCTTCATTGGTCACCAAGGGTTGGGCCACTTTGGGGACAGACAATACAATCCTGTCTCCTCCCATATTTAATGCAGAGAGAGTACTTGACTGCCTCACCTCCCTCACTCCCCTTTTCATTGTTTTATTACCACTTTCTGGATATGTCAAGGAGAGAAACAAGACCTTCTAAAGTGGGTCAGCTGCTGCCTCCCTTGCTGAGGCCCTCCTGGCTGGGTTGGAGACACACCCTCAGCACACACCTGGTAGCCTGGGGAACTCTGGGGCCTTCATTTAGTCAAAACTTGTCCTTGTTCTCCAGGCTCCCCGGCAGGGGAAGCAGAGATCGTCAACATCCGAGCAAAAGGAGTTCAGTGTCAGAGCCCTGGGTGGCTGGGAAGGCTGGGCACACCCCAACACCTGAACAGTCTCTCCAAGGGGGACCCCAGGCAGGAGGACACCCAGGAAGAGGAAAGGGGTCCTCAAAGGTCCAGCCCCCCTGAGCCAAGGAAACCACAAGTTCCTCTTCCCAATTCCAGTGGCTTCTCACTGACCTGTCTCTTCTCTTCCCACAGTGGTAGTGCCCGAACTCCAGCCCACTCGGTCCTGATGTGAGAAGATGCCCGGCTACCCACTTTCCTGCCCACAACCCAGCCTCCTCAACAGCTGCTGCTATGAGTGCCAACGCACCCCATCCCGGCCCCCACCACTCGTCTGTTCCCTCTGCCATCCGGATGCTCCAATGATCCCTGCCCCTGTGGGAATATTCGGTGGAGTCCTTTGCCCCTCCCACCCCCATAGCCCAGCCTCTAAATCACCAAAACCCCAAATTAAAAAGAGCCCTTTATGTGCTGAATCGGACACAGGTATTGAGTCTTAGTTTACAGTCAAAGGAGTCGGATATGTTTCCATCAGCAGGAGAAGTGGTTCCCGGGCGAGCCCTGCTCTGCTGTCCTGGACGTGGCCGCACTGCTCCTGCCTGCATAGAGCACCCGGTGTCCTTTGGCTGTGCACATGGATGATCCCCTCCCCACAGCCTGGTCTTCACTGGTCACCAAGGGTTGGGCCACAGACAATACAATCTTGTCTCCTTCCCATATTTAATGCAGAGAGTACTTGACTGTCTCACCTCCCTCACTCCCCTTTTCTTTTCATTGTTTTATTACCACTTTCTGGATATGTCAAAGAGAGAAACAAGACCTTCTAAAGTTCACCAACTAAAAGTGCAACTTATCTTTGCAAATACCCCAAAGTGACTTGAAGGATTTTAGAAGATTCTCTCCACTTCCCAAAGAGAAGGTGAATCTTCCCTATTTGCCACCATGTATCCTGACAGGGATTTAGCACAGTGTCATGATGCTCTGCCCCATGTGCCAGCCACACCACCCAAGGAACCCCATGAGGAACCCATGAGCCCTGGTGGGAGGGTCCCCCAAGTAAACCACAGTGAGCTGTCCCTGAATCATGCCGATGTGATCTAAACTACTGTCTGCCCTCACCCCAATATCCTTGAATGCTATATTTATGTCTTTCAGATGAATTTCTGTTAGACAGCTAAAAATAAAAATATGTCAGGTTTGGGTTTTCAGTCTGTATTACCTGAAGTGGAAGGATAGTGATGACTAATTTTCCCCATATTTGAAAGAAATAATTTGCTGCCATGGTTTGTGGAAATGTATGTGGGAATATTTTCAGGGATACCTTAAGTCAACATGACTTTTAGCTTTGAAAGCATATTTATACCTGGAGTTGCTTCTCCTTGTCCACCCCATCCCAACCCCTCTGACAGGTGACAGGGGGCTCCCCCATGGCCAGCCCAAGAGAGGAGAGAAAGCATCTGCCACTCGTGGCGTCTTCCCTTCCTGCCAGCACATCTGTCTCTCCAGCTGTTTATATTGCCAGGCACACGGACTTCAGAGAAATAAGCCAACTTAAATGGAGGCCACATGGAAGGTAATGGAATTATGTGAGGAAGGGAGAGCTCAGCGCTTTCAATTTGACCCATTCAGAGACTCCCTCCATGATCATAGGCAGGTGCAATAGGGAGAACCGGCAGCAACTCCACACTCGCCTCCTGACACTCTTCATGCAATGTGAGGCTTTGGCCAAAGTTTGGCTTGGTTTATGTCACAGAGTAGTCCATTGTTCCAGGAGATGGTACAAGAAGTTACATTTCCTCTCTCACCCATTTTAAAATTCCATTTTAAAATTCCATTTTAAAATTCCATTTTAAAATATGAGCATTGGCAGTGTCATGAAACAAATATGACTGTGATTTCTGCTTCACCCTTTACTTGACAGCACGCCCATCACATACCACCCTCTGTCATCACGCTGTCACTCTTTTTCCCTTTCTGGACCCTGGAGATGATCCTTTTAATACTGGAAACATGATAGAGTTTTCAGAGAGTTGAGGGGTGTCAGGGTGGGGGAACCCAGCACATGATTTCCAGCTCACAGTCTCCCACCCAGCAGCAGACCCACAGATGGGGCGTCCAGCTCTGTGCTGGAAGACTGGCCCCGCCCCTCCCTCTGCCAGTGCCCACCCTGCCCAGTATATGGTTTGCAGGCCTCAGGGAGCCAGGGAGGACGCCTGCCACTCCCCTGCCCTTCCCCACAAATCACCCATCCCCTCCTCCCTCTCTGCCATCTTGGGCATGTGGCTGACACTGCTCCCTACTGCAGGGACTACTATTATCCCAGGGAACCTCAAATCCACTGAGAACCCACCCAACAGCAAGGGCTCCTGATCCTTGGCCTTTTCACAGTTTATGACAAAGGAGCCAACAACTTACAAAGAAGAGAAGGCAAGATGAAAGCAGCTCCAGCTGAATCTTTGCACCCATTCTTAACCTCAATGACCTCTCTCAGGGCAGCCTACAATGCCTTCTCCCCTTCCCACTCTCAGCAGGCTAGCTTGTCTTGCAGACTGAACAAGAGGGTGTGTCAGTGAAGGGCCACCCCCATTTCAACACAGACCTGGATGCAGAGACCCTCTACAAAGCCATGAAGAGGATGAGTGAGTTGGCCGCCACCTCCTGCCCTGGCAACACTGTAACCCTGAAGGCTCAGGCCCTCCTGCTCAAGGGCTGAAGAGGGGAAACCAAGGACAGCTAAGGAGTCAGGGTCTCCCCATAACATTCTGAGACCGATCCCCGGCATGCAAACAATAACATAGATCCACCATCTGGATGCATCACTGGTCTATACTTAACCACCAAACTGGGGGGAGCACACATGCCCCTCCCTGAGTAATTGAGGAGTAGGCAGGGCATCTGCTGTGTGTGCTGTTGCCCTGGGGAGGCATCTTCACCCGGCTCAGGGTGGGCTTTGTAATTCATACTATGTCCACAAGAACTCGAGGCTCTGCATGCCACTGTGAAGTCGCTATTGGTTGAAGTCGCTATAGCATCTGCTACAGAGGAGATGGAATTTTCGAGGGACTGAACTGAGCTTAGGGGGCACCAGCTGCGGAGATTCTATGAGATTTCCCCTTCTCCATTTTGGCTCTGGGAGTTTGCAAAAATTCGGATTCCTGGAGGACTTTAATGGCCATCAGTGAGGGCTCAATATAAGGGACAAATGGAGGTTCCTTTCACAGCCCCTTAAGAATGCCGTGACAGTAGCAAGACAGTGAGCAGAGCTGCAGTGAGCCACCACAGGGTCGCCATGCCAACCTCCCTGTCCATCACAACAAGGGCATTATGTCTCTATGGGTCAGGGAGACACCCTGGCAGGCAGTGGGGCCTCCACCCAGTATCAGTCCACTCTGCCCTTAGTGCAGGTCTACTAGTAGTGGCTCATTGTTCCTTGACTAAAGAAAAGACTTGATTAAAGGAGTAGAGCACCCTGAACATTGCTTAAAACAGTGAAGGTCGCAGCTTGCCTGACTGAAAGAGATTAGTGTCTCTTGCAGACTCAAGTGCTGCCTACAAAATGAGAAGCAGCTGCCCTGGGGTTCTGGGGCTTGCATTGTTCCTCTTGCTGGTTTTGCCCCCTCTGCTGCCAAGCAGTGGGGCATACCAGCACAGAGCTCCAACCTGGCTAGATTTCCAACACCTCATTCAGACCTGGAGAAACCTCCCCAGCAACACCAACCAGGATGGGGAGAGCACCCGCCAGGGCCACAGCCAGGACACCGGGTCCAGGGAGAGGCTGGCAGATCACAAGAAATCCTGCCAGAGCAATCTTGACCTCTATTTAATCTTGGACAAGTGAGTGGACTTCCTACCGGGCCAGAGACTTGGGGGGCATTACAGGGAGCTCCTTTCTCAGCACTTGTTAATAATGTCCTGGGTTTTTGGTTATCATTTTATGCTTGGTTTTGTTTCTCACTCAAATCACTCCATTTTTACAGGCTTCCAGAAAAACACACTGTAGTGTCACTGCTGAGAAAGTCCTTTGCTTTGCTGGCTAAGCGTTTTTGCTACTTTCTTCTATGATCTATGTGTTTTCTGAACACTTTGCTCTCTGGGTGTGGTCCTGAGAAAGCTGGGCTCTATATAAGCCTTTATGACCTTGAAGAAGGAAAGGGGTCCGGGGCATTGGCTTGGAGACACGGCCTTGGTCGTTTCCAGCTCCTCTGTTGGGCTGAGAATTAACTTCACCTCTTCAGTAATAACGATGGTATGATGTCGGTGGAAGCACTGGATTGTTTTCAAAGCCCTTTTCCTGCTGTGCCATCCTCAGACAGGCCTGTGGCAGGGCGGGGGTGGGGGGGGGTATATGACACCTTCTGGGAAGGATGAGCATCCCAGAGCTGAAGGCAGTAGCCCAGAAGTTCTAGGATGACTTATCCACTGTGGAAAAGTCAGGTATTGAAGTTATCTACAAATACGTTTTTATTTCTCCCTTCACCTATTACATACATATGTATGTGTTCAGATGTTGGGGGCACATTTTCTATCTTTGGGATGTGATGACCTCATTATCATTATGACTATCCAATATCATTTTATATCTTCTATAATCCCTTCACATTCAATCTGCTTGTCTTTAAAGTAAAATATTTATCTATAGGTAATACATACATAACTGGCCTTTTCTGTGTACCTAATCACACTGTTTCTTTGCTTGATGAATTCAATATATTTAAATTTGGAGTGATTATTGATATATACGAACTAGCTCCTGACAACTTATTATTTCCTAAATGTGGTATATTGACATTACAGCTTTTGTTTTCCTTCTGATTCTGCCTACCTTTGCAGATTGGGGTTTCTTCATGTACATTCTGCTTCCTTTTCTAGCCATTGCTTGTTTGTTGAATGTTTCTCTGGTGAAACCAGGACTTGGAACTTTGAAATCTGCCTTTTTGTTAGAATCCCACCATGCTACCAGCATTTGTTTGTAATTTTTTTAATAATTATCAAGTAAATTCATAAACACAAGTTGAAAATCAAACACTGTTACAAAGTTCCTGCAAAAAAGTCCAGGCTTCTTTCCTACCGTCTCCACTTCTGATCCCACAGCTCAGAGAGAGCTCTTGCACATCTTGGGGATTTTGTCAGGTTATGACTTTGTGTCTCTTAACAGGCTGTGTTGACACCTTTCTTGCTGCTTGGTAAGAAAGAGGCAGAGAGCTGGTCATGGTGATTCTCCAAGGACACAAAGGACCAGGAGAGTCAGAGTTACAGGATGTAGGAGGTTTTTTTCAGAAATGCATCCTCCTTCATGTCTTATCTAGAGCTAGTGTGGCACAACCAACCATCCCAGTTTGTCTCCACAGGGTCTCACTCTTGAATCCCTCAGTTGCAAGCACACAAATCCCATTGGTGCCGTCCACCTCATTACACTGACGAAAGTCACCATCAGGAAGGCCCTGGGGTTGCTGACAGTGTGCGGCAGCAGAGTGGGGTGGGAGTAGCTTGTTGGATGGTTTCAGATAAACTCTGCCAACTCAAAGAATTCACCCTATTCCATTGATTTTTCATTTTCAGGTCAGGCAGTGTGGCCAACAACTGGATATTTACATACGGCTTCGTAGAGGATTTCCTCAAAATGTTTCAAAAGTATGACTTCTCCGTGTGGTGGGGCTTTTGTAGTGCCAGGCAGGGTTTTGTCTGTTTAGACCCAGTAGGGATGGATGTCACTTGGATCAGCAGCATGAAGCCCCGGGGTGGAGTTCTGAAGCAGTCAGAAGTGTAGTACACTCTGGTTCCATTGCCTCCAAAGGTCTTAGAGACTTTGGGTGTCTCCAGTGTTGGTGTCAAGTCACAGTGTAGGAAACACTGACTGACTGGAGGTTGTTACAGATTAAAATCAGGCTAACCTGTAACACAGTAAAAAACACTTATTTAAATAGTTCCAAAGAATATGGCAAAGAACCCTTATGGCAACTTTAAAGAAAAAGCAAGAATTCCTAAAGAAAACTCAAGAATAGATTTCCCCAGGATATGGACATTTGAACTAAGACTGTTAAGAATGAGGAAAGACAAGGTAACAAGAAGCATCAGGGAGACTTCCTGTGGAGAGAGTGATCAGTTTAGGGGGACAGAGGGGTTAACTCACAGAAGGGGAGCAACTGAGTATGGAACAGGGCAGCTTGGGGTCAAGAGCCAAAGGGCTCATACAGCCAAGCCAGGGGCCTCAATTCATGTGAGCAACAGGAAGTTATAAATGACTCTTGGGCTGAGTGTGGGTGGTGAGGATTGTGCTCCAAGAAAACCGATAATGGTGGGTAAAATGAGTGGGAACAAGACCACAGCTACATGGAGTTCATCAGGGACTAGGGCAGCAATCCTCTAACAGACAAAGGGGGCCTGTGACGCAGAAGACAGTGGGCAGGGAGAAGAAAGGGATGGAGCCATGTGAATGAGTGGCAAAAGGGACAATAATTTCTCTTAGACGGAGGCAGGACAATAACATAGACCAGGAGGGAAGGGTCTTGAGTTTCCAAAAACATTACAGAGAATAGAGGCTACTCATGGGGCAGGCATAGGGACCTTCACCTAGTGTGTGAGGCATGAACCATGCCTCTGTGTGTGGAGGGGGGGGGGAGAAAGAGAGAGAGAGAGAGAGAGAGAGAGAGAGAGAGAGAGAGAGAGGGGTAGAGGTTGGGATCTGGGGATAGAACAGGACACCATTCTCATGGTCTCCCTGGAGCACCACACATTCGCTGAATTCCAGAATCCTTTACTAATTATATGGTAACTTCTGGAACTCAGGAAGGGGTCACAGGCTAGAGGGAAGTGAAGACAGGCAGGTGTCCCCTCCCTGGCTGCTCATGGGGTCATTTGAACCTCTGTTTACGACTCTCACATACACGTGCTTCCTCCCCAGCCCGAAAATGCGGGTCTCCATCATCACCTTCTCCACACTGGGCCACACCGTCCTAAAGCTCACCTCAGACAAGTAAGTTCAGATTCACTCCCTCAAGGCAGACCTGCTGGTGGTGGGAGTGGGAGTGGGGAGACGGACGCCATGGGGAAAACACTGCAGAGGAGCTCTGAGTTTCAATCTGGAGCCCACAGACTTGCTGCCTGGGCGGGGCTGACTTCTGCTCAGAGAACACCCTGTGCCCCCAGCATCTACTCCCAGCCCCTCTGATAACTCCTGCACTGACACTTGCAACCCCTGTGTTTCTAGACAATCTCTACCGCTCCAGGTTTGCTGTGCCGGCTCAGATCTTCACTTGGAGCAGCCTGATCCAGCTCCCCCACAGCTTGTGTCCCACTCTCACCTGTTATCTAACTTAGCAGAGCTAGTAAAGGACAAAAGTGTGGCCATCTGCAGCTCACTGCTCCCCTGCCTGCATGGGCAGCACTTATGGCCCCTTCCCTGGCCTTAGGTCTTCCCTGTCAGGAGCTCTGAAGTAGGGAGTCAGCACTCAAAGCAGCTTTGCACTTTCTTCAGAACCAATCCTGAAGGGAAGGATGATGAGGGTTCCAAGTCACCCTCAGCGCTCCAGGGCAGGGAGGAAGGGACAGGGCATGGGTATTGCCAGGGTGACCCTTACCAAACTCAGTCTTGCCTGGTAGAGGGTGATTAGCCCCACTGGGTACACCTAGGTGCTGGCAGTCCTGGCAGTCCAATTTAGTTCCGGGTTCACACTAGTGCAGTCTCAACTGCTCCCCACTCTACTGTGGATGGTCAGACAGGCCTTTCATGAAGCCGCCTGGGTAAATGAACCTGATAAGCGATGAGTACAGACAAGATGAATTTCAAAGATCTTGGGCTGAAGGGCCATGGCAGGCTTACTGAGTGTGGCCTCCCTCATCCAGGTCGGTCTGCCCAGTGCAGAATGTGGCAGCACAGATGGGGCTGTTTGAGAACACTCCACCCTTCTTCCTACCTCAATACTCCTTTTATTTTTTTTTAGAAAAGAAATCGAAGACGGTCTCAACAAACTACGCAACACAGTGCCTACCGGTGACACAAACATGCAGGAAGGATTTAAAGCGGTACAGCCAGAGCTCTAAGAATTTATCCTGCTTTAGCAAGTGCTCGGAATATCACTGAGTCCTCTCAACATGCCTTCCTGTTTTTGCAGGTCAATGAGCAGATCGCCAACGCAAACTCTGGAGGTAAGCTCTGCTGACTTCAAGACTGTCGGATCCTGGACAGTCAGGCCGGGGAACCAGCAGTCTGGTGGCCCCCACTTGGAGCTGACTCTTGTGCCAGTTTCCTGCCCAATATGTACTCCAGGCTCCTCGTCTGTGCACAGAGGAGAAAGGGCAGCCCTCTGATGTATCTGAGACTTGTGGGCTCCTGGGTGTACATTCCTGGTGTTTATTAACTGTAAAGGACCTGACCCACAGGTGTGTTTTGAGGAAAAGGGACAAAGGCCAGGGGGCACCTTGGGCAGACAAGACTCCACTTATGGAAGAAAAGTTCTTTATTTTCCCCTTGCTGACCACACTCTGCCGCGTTCCCATGGCTGGAGCTGCCTCCTTCCCCTTCATCGTCTCCCTCTGCTGACGTTCCTCCTGGCCCATGTGTCCCAAGGGCTAGCAGCTGTGTCAGCCCAGCACCCTCTCTTTTGGGATTGAGTCTGTAGGGTGGATGCTCCGGGCACAACAGGTGGAAGTGGGAGACTGTGGGGAAAGGCTTACAGCAGGACTCAGTGTCCACTCCCCAAAGACCTCTGGCCTCATTTTCTGACTAACTGGCCCTAAGGGGCCAGCAGGTGTGCCCCAGCCTCCTCTGAGCCTGCAGATCATCTATTTCTGTCAGGTGGCTGTGCTCCCGCATTGCTCATGGGAAAGGTGTCATTTGTCCAGTAAATATCTGGATTTGCCTCTCAGAGTAAAGGTTCTGCCATCTATACAGTGAGAATTCAGTAAGAGAAATCCACAGCCAGGCTCAGTGTGCCCCTCTGTAAAGTGGGTCGGCTAATGTGTCTTCTCCCTCCAGGCGGCTGCTCCACAGCCCTCGAAGTGCTCAGGAATGCAAGTGCTGGGGTCTAGCACCCTCTCCCAGGGGGAGGAAGCTGGGGGCAATGCTGTCGCCCTCTCACCTGTGGTAGGTCACTCTGAATACTACTAACCAGGCCACTCCTGCTTCTCCCACAGTAAAGAAGGTTCACTCCATGGTTATCTCCCTGACTGATGGAGCACTATCCCCAGAGTCCTTTGAGGCTACCAAGAACGAAGTGAGTCCAGCCCACCTTAACCAGCTTTTACTCCACATGTTCAGTGATTTACACTTAACACGGTCTTTGTCTTAGGCTCAGAGGACTCGACAACTGGGAGGGACTGTATACGCTGTGGGTGTAAACTACTACATGAAAAATCAGGTAATTCAGAACAGGAGCCAACTGCAGAGAACAGTTGTGAAAAGCTTTGAAAGGGCCACCCAGAGGATGGTTCTCTAACCCACCCCAAATATCTGGACAACATGTGACCACTGCAGAAATGAGTAAGAGTGTTGTATGTGCCCACAGACCTGGGGAACAGGTAGAACTTTCCATTCCAGAAAGTTGGGATGCTGGCCAAGGTTAGGGTGGGGCGCTGAGTCTCACATGGCATGAGGCCTGAGCCTGAAGAGTGGGATGGGGTCCTGCTGGTATCTCACCCTCCTGTGGGTCCAAGCCTGTTGTTCCTTCTCTTAGCTCTTGGAAATTGCAGACAGTGAGGATCACGTGGTTGGTGTGGACAGTGGATTTTATGATCTCCAGAACATCGTCGACTCAGTGAGACAGGGGTGGTGTGGGGGGTGGGATGAGGCGGCTTCTTACCATGCCCCACTCTTTACCTGACCTGAACAACTCTCTGTTCCAGCTCGCAGATAAATCCTGTATTGAGCTTACAAGTGTGGAACCGACAAATTACTGTGTGGGAGGTAAGAGCTGGGGGCTCTCTTCTGAAGAGAGGAACGTATGTCTGTGTGTGTTGCAAGCATGCTAGGCTGTGTGTAATGGATGTAGTGTATGAACTTTAAGTGTACAGATGCCCAAACATCCAATTATTTCACTAGCAACCAGGCCAGGATGCTCAGTCAGGCAAGAGACAGAGTGTTGCAACCTGCACTGTTTTGTTCCCCACTCCTTTATGATGGCGGTCTGATAGAGGCTGGAAAAGACTGCCTGTGCCCCTTAGGGAGCTTCAGGACTTAAAGATTGGAAACCCCATGAGGGGTTTGCTCATTGGATGGGACTAGGTGGAGCCTTGAATGGGCTGTGGCAGTTAGCAGCTAGGAGTGCCCAAGAGCTCCACTCAGCCTCCTTACAGTGGCCCCTTTAGAAATGCCAGGTAACAAATACAAGATGGGCGACACAGGTGACTCAGAGACACACAGATATTGGTTCAGAACAGCTGCCTCCTGCAGGAGTCCCTTGGGGTTTCCATTTGGGGGCGCACTGCCATAGAATGAGATCAGGGGACAACAGAGCTCAGCCCCTCCTTACACATGCCTTTGGGTGTTGCCCTTGCAGAAAGCTCTGAAGCACTGGTCTTTGGAAGAGGTTTTCATAACACCAAAAACAAAAACGAAGTCCTATGTAGATTTCAGAGAAGTGACACCATATATTTTGGTAAGTCCCACCCTTGATTTGTACAAGTAAAAAATTTCCCACAGACGCTGTCTCCATCAGCCACCATGCCTCCACAGCCCTCGATGTCCATTCGCTGTGGGTGCTGTGAGGATAGAGGCAGCACCGAGAGTGGAAGGAGGGACGTGGGTGGATCCATCCATCCCCAGAGTCACAAAAGAGTCTGGGGTCAGGGCTGTACCCTGTGAGGAGGGTCTTCCCTCAGAGTTGCATCACCTGCGCTTTCCTCATCTCTCAATTTCCCTGACAGACAAGGACCCCAGTATCATAAGTTTACCAGGTGAAATGGAAGCTGTCCTGGGCTCTGAGTTCAGGCCAGGTGCTCCTGGCTCTGGACTGTGGACACCCGACGGAGGTCAGTCAGGAAAGCACCTCTTTGAGGATGCTATTTCCTCTTATCCTGACCATTCCTCCCTACCCTTTGGATAATAGGCAAACCCTACCCTCTAGTTTCACTCTCAGTAACAATGAAGAAATAACAGAGACAGAGGTTCATAGCAGATGCACAATTTAGTTAGTGCCAAAACGCTTATCCATGCGGAATGTACCATAGGTCAGAACACCCCTGACCTATGGCAGAGGAGAGAAAAACATTAATAGATCTGAGATTAATACTGAAAATGACACACAGTACAAAGCAGGGAAATAAAAAGAATAAAAACATGACGCCACCTCACACCTAATAAGTACCTTTAACACTCTTAAATGTCACACAGTAGAGCCTCATTTTCTTTGATGCATTGATAGAAAAAGAAACAAGTAGAAATGAAGAAATTGTTGGGTGTGACACAATGTTTCTTCATGAGACAAATTTCGAAAAGATGCTCCTAACGTTAAATAGATGCTTTAAAAACATGAAGATTAGGGCTATATGAGGAGAAACTTTAGTTTGATTATGATCTGTTTATGTTTGCAGCATCTATCTGTGACAAGGACTCCTGTCTTACCAAAATTAAAATTAAAGAACACCTAAACTGAGAACAAGTCTATGATTTTGGAATTAGAAAAATGTTTAAAATGCACTCCACTCTTAGAAAAATGTCTCCTGAGCTGTGCCTGGAGGCCAGGCCTACCTTTGAGCTTGGCCCCTTCCGAAGCACTTACTCCCCTCCTGCTGTACACACCCCCTGGTGCAGGGCTGGGAGAGGACCTCCCCTGATCCTACTGAGAGCCACAGCCAGCCTGCATCTGTCTGCAAGTGCAGAACTGTGGTTCCAACTAGGGTCTTGAGAAGCCCAAGTAAACAGAAGCCAGGGAAAGGATTGTCCTCTGGTATCATTGTGGTCAAATCCAAGTGGCCCTCGATTGTGAATCACAGAGGGGAAGCATGGGACCCTGCGGAGCGGGGCCAGGTTGTTTGGAGTAGTAAATCAGTGTGCAAAGGCAGCTGGGCCTTCTCCACTCAGCCAGCATTTAGGGATATAAAAGACCAGGGATTCAGAAGTGAGAGGCCCCACAACTATAAGTTAAGGAACACCTTAGAGCCTCGTAACTGCCCTGCTTGCAAAATATAACAAAATACAAAAGGAAATAAAGAAAATCACTGTCCCCTCCTCAGAAATCCCCTATCTCATAAAAGGCACCACCATCATCCAGTTAAGCTGGTCAAAACCTGCATGTCATCCTTGATCCCTCTTTGCTTTTATCACCATATTCAGTCCAGGGTAGGCCCTATTTCTTCGATGTCTACAGCATGTGCTGTGATGGCTCACCCCTCAACAGACTCACTGTGTTTAGAATAAAACCCAAACTGTTCCAGGACCAAGAGTTCCTGCCCACCTTCTTCTTCCTTCTGGGACAAGGTCAGGTAGTGCTGCCTCGGCTTGACACATGCTATTCCCACAGGGCAGAACTCTGCCTTGGGATCTTGCCCTGACTCTCCCCTCATCACATTCACCTCAGGATAGGGCCCTCAGAGAGAACTTCTCTCTAAAATATGTTCAATAATACAGAAAAATAGAAATATTGAAAAAGAACTTGAAACAGCATCTCTTAATTTCAGTAATTATCAAATAAGACAATGATTATTTTGAAGTAAATACCAGTGTGATGAAATTTATGTAAAAATATTTCAGTTTCCCTAAATCTCACCTTGTCCCAGTGCCTGCCTCACCCATTCTGTGTCCAACCCTGTTCATTAATGTCACAATTTTAATTCTCTGGCATTTACTTACAAACATAAGCCCTGGAAAGCCTGATCCCATTCAATGCAAGTCATAGCCTTTGCTGGTGCGGGCAGCTGCTGAGAGGGCAGAGAGGAGACGCTGCATCTGCCCCCACAGAGCTGCATCAGCCAAGGGCAGGCAGACGGGAGCGGGGGTGGATGGGCACGTCCACTGGCTTTCTTCCTATCTCATTTGCTTTAGATAAAAGAGCCACCCAAGTGGAAGACACCAGCATAAAGTGTCCGGGAGTGCAGATGGAGGAAACAGCCAAGTAAGTGCCACTCTGGGACAGGCAGGCATTTTTGCCCCAGGAGATGCAGAATGTGGGGCACCTCTGCTGGGCAGCATGTGACGTGCTCTGGGAGGCTTCAGGCCATCGCCTGACCTGCCCGTCTTGATGATCCACCGATGAGCTCAGGGATCTGCTGTGTTGCAGCCCTTGCTAAGGACAGGATGTGGAAGATGAGGGAGCCAGGGGGCCTCCTCTACTACCAGCAGCCTTCAGAGATCAGGATGGTGACGCCTGATCAGAATGGTGACACCACACATCCTCCCTGGTCACTGAGCTCGTGACCACAAAGCATCTGACCCCATGCAGAGTCCCTCACTGGTCATCCTCATCACTGAGGTGGACCTCGTGGGACTTGGGGTGAACTATCCTCCCCGGCATTCTGCCCTCCAGTAGCCTCGAATGCCTAATGTTCAAAGTCATCACTGTAGGGAGAGCTATGGGCTATGATTTGAGCAGAAACCAAGAGCCGACCTGCACCTGTGCCGACCTGCACCTGTGGTCACATCTGTCCTTTCTGTGTTTAGCGATATCTCCGTTGAAGTGAGCCTGAACAATGGTGCCAGCTTCATCAGCAACGGGCTCAAGATCAGCAGCAAGGATTGTGGGGGTCACAGGGTAGGTACTTGGTCTCCCTCTGGGCTGCCCAGAAGCCTGCCCTGAAGACAGAGTCATGCTAGGGAGGCAAGAGCGAGGACCAGTACTCAGGACAGGCCCAGCAAGTAGCAAGTGCGACAGGATGGGCAGCTTCTCCCAGACAGGACTCAGCTCAGCACGGGGCACCTGGGAAGGAACGTGACAGGCCCCTTCCCAGGCTCCACATCATCCGGGCAGCAGGACATGGGCAATGGGGAGAACATCAGTCTGGAGAAGTGGTGTTGGGGAGTAGGAACACGGTACCCCATTGCCAGAGTCCTGAGTACAGGCATATGAGGGACCACACGGTGCTCACATGTCCAGTGTCCATCTGCACTGTGTCTGCACATCTGCTCAGACCAGCCAGACTCACAACAGCTCCTCGGAGTCCCACCAAGGCACAGCTCGTCTGTCATGGGGCACATTAGAAAAGCTCTCAGGAGAGCCTCCAAGCTGGGCACGGCACCTCAGGTCAGCAGTCCTGACCTTGCCGACTATCTGCCACCCTGGGTTCTGGGCACCAGCCCTGTCTCCCTTCCTCTCGCCAGCTGCTCTGAGCAGAGACTGTGTGGGGACCCACCTGAGACCCACTCACCCTTGGTTCAGAATGACAGCCAGAGACAGCCCCTTCCTTCACCCCCACACGGACCTGGCCTGTGCCAGGACTTTGATGACCCTCCACACCTCATGACCCTCTCACCTCCTGCTCACATGTGGACACAGAGGAGCAAAAAAACTGAGGAGCTCTGCCCACGGCTCAGAGTCAAAAATAGTGGGAGGCATCGTGTGCAATGTAACTGGCTTTCCTCCTCTGCTCTTGCACCCTCACCTCAAGAGGCACTCCTGTACCCCCACAATCCTCCAGACCCATTTGTGTATCTGTACAATTCTATGTCCCTGCACTGTCAGCCAGGGCTTGGGGTGGGGCAGGGTGATCACCTCACATGGCTTGACAGAACTCTGGGGATGAGCCTCTGAGCAGGCCAGTGGGCGGGTGTGCCCCACCCCCACAGTATCTCTGTGTATAGTTGGGCCCAACACTTGAGGTCCGTCTAGGTGGCAACTTGCGTAGAATAGGAGTGGACTGAAGAGAGTCTAGGGTGCTTGCTCAATAGTGGGGGTCTAGGAGGCCCCAGACCCATACTCCTGGTCTCTGTGCTCTCTGCAGAAAGTACATCCAGTGGACTATCCAGATGTGGCAAATGTGGTGGCAGTTCCCATGAAAAGAAACGTACAATTTCCTGATATCAACCCTTATCAACTAGCAATAGTCCTAGGCATAATTTTAACACCAGCGGTGATCTGGTTACTATGGAGATTTTTTTCCAGAAAGGTGAGTGCGCCAACCTGTATACCTCCCTCAACCAGACAACTCCCAGGGACCCGTCACATGCTACTCTTGGTCTCTGCTCCTCCTGTCAGCTCACAGTCTTCACAGGAGCAAAGGGAGACAGACTCTGCTCTGCATTCCAGGCAGAGAGATGACAGGGCAGGGGCCTCCTGCCTTGTGTTTGCAAGGCCTGTGGTCTATGGGCTGCAATGCCTGGGCGAAGCGCCAGAATGCCGGGCAGGGCTGCCTCATGGCCACCAAGCTGTGATGCTCTGGTGGACAACAGGCTGGGAGGAGGACTGTGTTGTTGAGGGAAGAAGCAGGGGTCCCGTAGGGACACAGAATGAGCAGGACTCCCAAGCTCCTGGCAGTTGAGCTTTAGAAACCAGCACAGTGTCTGCACATCCCCAGTGCTGCTTCCACCTCCCTCCATCTTCTTCCTGAGTGCCAGGGGTGCTGCCCATACTGGGCACACAGGGACAGAAAGGAACCAGTTGCCAGCCTGTCCGGCTGAGCTAGTCTGGGGTCTAGGCTAATGTTGGTGGCTGGGTGGGCATGAGGTGAACCACAAAATACCACCATCTGGGGACCACGTGCCCTGACAAAGCAGCGCAATAGCAGAGGACATCCTGGCCGACCGGGAGGAGGGAAGCAGAGCATGGTGGTGGCAGCAAGGACACTGCTGGATGGAGAGTGGGAGGAGCATAGGGGAAGTCACAGCAGCAGCCAGGAGCGAGCAGGGCCTAGAAGGGACCGCGTTCCCCAGATAACAGAGGAGTCGGATGCTCGGGAACATGCCCAGCCTGCTGGCCACCGACCCACGAGGGTGGACACCAGCGGTGACACTACTGCTGAGCAGAGTCCCCTCCCACCTGTGTGGAACAGCCAGAGCCCTGCAAAGCCCTTTCATCCTGTGTTTGTCTCTTTCACTTTCTAGAACAAGGAGCCGGTGGTGAGTTGTGTCTTTATTCCTGATGCCCACACAGACCTTCACAAAACGGCCTCCTGAGCTGTGGGATATTTCTACTCCCCACCCTACCATCTCCACCTACCTGCACAGAGAGAGCTAGAAGAACAAGGGTGACACAGGGGCAGGGAGGGGCCCTGGGAGGACCAAGGACTCACAAATGATCATCAGACAACAGCCTCTCCATGCTGCCCACGGTCATACCAGAGCCCCTGTCACATTATCAAATGCGGTGGACTCTTTCAGCAAGTGCCGTGACCCACTGTGACATGACCAGGGCTTTAGTTTTGCTATTGTCAGTTCCCAAAGATTGGTCATTGGCTGGTCTTCCCTGGGTTAAGTGAGCAGTTGGGAAAGGAATCCCAGGGTTGCAGTACTGGTCACCCCTCTCGGGTCTGACGCTGTTGGGCTGTATTTGTTTGCGCTCCTCCCTGTCTCCTGGCAGGTTGGGGATTGACTGGGTTTGCCCTTTGAGGACTTCAGGACTAAGGAGGGTGGAGGGAGTTTGTCCTGGCATGGGCTGTGAGGGAGGCCCAGTCCAGGTCCACCAGGGACCAAGGGTCTGCTGAGCTGCCTTGGCTCTCCTGGGTAAGTAGGCCCAAACAGGACTCAGAAAATTTGCACAGCAGGGCCACTGTACCGATAACGGGGAGACCTAGGAAGCAGACCCCACTCAGAGGCTGGCTTCGATGCTACTGCAGTGTGGTCTGGGAGGCTGCATCTGCCAACACCAGGCCAATCAGCCTCTGCTGATGCTCCTCCCAGATGTCCACCTTTACGTTGCACAGCCCAAGTCCAGGCTTCTCCAAGGGCAGCCCAATGGAACCCATCTTTTGGGAAAGCATCATCTCTGCAACCTATGTAGAGGTTGCTTGTGCTTCCCATGCAGGGCCTCCCAGGCAGTACAGGGTGCTGCTAACTCAGTTGTCCTTGAATACTCCCAATAGCCTTAGCTGAGGAGACAGATGTGGACAGGTGCTGGGGCAACACCTCGTGTGTATGCACCCCAGAGCAGCCAGACAAGAGCTCTCTCTTCCTAGAAACCCTGTACACCAAACTGCCCAGCAGTGGTGGTCCCTTGCGGTGGGTGTGGAGAGCGCAACATGAACCAACTAGAGGTGAGAAGGGTCCTTGGGGAGAGAGCTGTGGCCCAAGTTGGGGCTGCTGAAGGGGAGGGACAGACAGGGTGGGCCCAGAAGGTGTGGCTTGGATGGAGATAAGTGTTCAGGGCACTGAATTGGCTCCCTTGGCTCCAATACCAGGATCTCCCTCAATGGGCCCACATTTATGGAATCAGTCACTACACAGAAGATCTTATCAGCCCCGACAATGACTTGGGTTCCCTGGGAAGTAGGTTTGAGTTAAAACAATATTACAAGGTTCATGAAGGTCAGAAATATAAGAAGGCTGAGTCAAGTTCTTTCCCCCATGAAGTGGGCATGCTGGTGCACATGCCGCCCGCAGAAGCCAACTCAGCAGAGTGAGGGAGGGAGCCACTGCTTGTCCTCCTGCCCTCAGCCCTGGTGACAAGGGTCACATGGAGGAGGAGCCTGAGGGAAGGCCCTTCCTCAGGGAGATCTGGGCCTGCCCTGCTGAGACACATCCCACACTGGGGCCCCAGCACAGAATAGAGTCCAGATGGCTGGGGTGGAGGAAAAAAGACCCCACAATTTCTGCCTGGCTTTGCCCCTCCTCCTGGTCCTGCCTCTGTCCTGGTTGGGTCATGTCTTCCTCCAGGAGCTTCAGTGGCACCAGGAAAGCCAGCCCTGCCTTCCCCTCAGTGTGCGACACAGCAGAGGCCAAAAACTTTCCAGAGAGGAGGAAGCCCTGACCAAGGGCTCGTTCCTGCTCACAGGACATGGCTCCCCCTCTGAAAACACCAGGGCAGAGCTGGAGCACAGGGTCCAGAGCTCCCCTAGGATCCCCCACCAGGGATCCAGGTCACTCACAGTCTTCTTGAGCCTCCTCTTCCCTCCACCCTCGGTCAGCAGGACCCTGCACGCCTTGGTGGGCCTAATGAGTGCAGGCCTCCTCCTCCCTTCCTTCTAGCTCCTTCCCTTGTACCCCGCATATCACTTCCAGCCTTTAACTCTGCTAGCACCTCCTGGGTTGTCCTCAGAAAATACTAATTTGTTCCAGATGCCTGAAAAATCCCTGACCCACACCCTCAACCCCCAAAACACAAGAGCTTCGAGGCCCCTTGCTGCAAATCGAAGCCACAATCCTGTCCCAAGGAGTGTGGGGGACTCCCAAGGGCTCAGTTGACTTTGGGAACTGGAGGGGACACTGTCCGGTTGGAGGCAGCAGCCAGTTCAGAGCTTCATTACAGGTGCCTCTGCTTTTCAGAAAAAAATGGATCTTATGTGCAACTTTTTTCAAAATGGTAATCAGCGTCCAGTGATGCCATGTCAGCCCACGAACAAGGTAAGCAGGACAAGGGATGCTCGTCAAGGACAGACCCTTTGCCTTTTGCCCTTGACAGCTGCCCTCTGGGACTGTTGGGTTCAGGCCTCTGTCATGAAGAATGTCTAAGACGTGGTGCCCAGGAGCCTCCCAGCTGATTCTCAACAGCAGACCGTATTTCCTTAATTTTCATGTCAAGGATGGCAGGAGACAAATATAGAACATTACCCAGCACATCTAAATTTAAATGAAAAGCCTGGAAAAACAGTCAGATAGGGAGTGTTTGGTGCCTCCATCCCCACCCCACACCAGGGCTATGGGTCAGCTGCTGCCTCCCATGCTGAGGCCCTCCTGGCTGGGATGGAGACTCACCCCTCAGCACACACCTGGTAGCCTGGGGAACTCTGGGGCCTTCATTTAGTCAGAACTTGTCCTTGTTCTCCAGGCTCCCTGGCAGGGGATGCAGAGACCGTCAACATCCGAACAAAAGGAGTTCAGTGTCAGAGCCCTGGGTGGCTGGGAAGGCTGGGCACACCCCAATACCTGAACAAGTTATTGTCCTCCCAGGCAGGAGGACACCCAGGAAGAGGAAAGGGGTCCTCAAAGGTCCAGCCTGTGGTTCTAGCCTCCCTGAGCCAAGGAAACCACAAGTTCCTCTTCCCAATTCCAGTGGCTTCTCACTGACCTGTCTCTTCTCTTCCCACAGTGGTAGTGCCCGAACTCCAGCCCACTCGGTCCTGATGTGAGAAGATGCCCGGCTACCCACTTTCCTGCCCACAACCCGACCTCCTCAACAGCTGCTGCTATCAGTGCCAACGCACCCCATCCCGGCCCCCACCACTCGACTGTTCCCGCTGCCCTCCGGGATGCTCCAATGATCCCTGCCCCTGCGGGAACATTCGGTGGAGTCCTTTGCCCCTCCCACCCCCATTGCCCAGCCTCTAAAACACTGAAACTCCAAATTAAAAAGAGCCCTTTATGTGCTGGATCAGACGCATGTATGGAGCCTTGATTTACAGTCAAAGGAGTTGGATGTGTTTCCATCAGCAGGAGAAGTGGTTCCCTGGAGAGCCCTGCTCCGCTGTCCTGGACGTGGCCGCACTGCTCCTGCCTGCACAGAGCACCCTGGTGTCCTTGGCTGTGCACATGGATGATCCCCTCCCCACAACCTGGTCTTCATCTATCACCAAGGGCTCAGCCACTTCGGGGACAGACACTACAATCCTTTCTCCTCCCGTATTTAATGCAGAGAGAGTACTTGACTGTCTCACCTCCCTCACTCCCCTTTTCATGGTTTGCTTACCACTTCCGGTATGACAAAGAGAGAGACAAGACCCTCTAAAGTTCACCAACTAAAAGTGCAACTTGTCTTTGCAAATACCCAAAGTGCCCCAAAACCCAGAAGGATTTTAGAAGATTCTCTCCACTTCCCTAAGAGAAGGTGAATCTCCCCTAATTGCCACCATGTATCCTGACAGGGATTTAGCACAATGTCCTGGTGCTCTGCCCAGCACAGGGCATCTGGGCACTGCCCTATGTGCAGCCATGCCACCCAAGGAACCTATGAGGAACCCATGAACTCTGGAGGGATGGTCCCCCAAGTGAACCAAAGACAGCTGTCCCTGAAGCACACTGATATTGATGTAAACTACTGTCTGCCCCCACCCCAGTATCATACTATGTCCCCAAGAAATCCAGGCTCTGCATGCCACTGTGAATTTAGGATGGAATGATGCTGATATGGCATCTGCTACAGAGGAGACGGAATTTTCAAGCGACTAAACTGTGCTCAGGGAACATTAGCTGAGGACTTTCTAGGAGTTCTCCCCTCCCCAGGTTGGCTGGACCCTCCTTCCTCTCTCCAGTACCCGAATTCCCATGTGCTGTGACCAGGATAAGACTGACCTGAGTCCTTGGGATTTACATAGCTGACCCAGAGAGCCCTCCTACTGTTATCAGGGGAGGGATTTACTCACTATTTGGCTCAGAATGGCCACTAGGTGCATTAACAAGAAGCACCATTCTAGAAGAATCCAGAAAGCATGTTTTTTCTTCTACTTCCTTCTCATCCAAGATTTACTATTATCTCCACTTCTCAGATGCAAAAGGAGAAATGTGGCAGTCAGGCTGCTATGTAGGAACTCAAACCCAGATTTCTGACCCCTCAGTCCTGACATTCCCCAACCCCTACCCATATGAACCAGGCCAGGAGAGGGGTCTCATTCTGCCAGCTTCAAAGGCCCTGGCCATATCAAGAGCAGTCAGATGACCAGCAGGTCCTCACAGCCCAGCCCTTGAGTCTGGGCCTGTGCTCTGCCTCAACATTGAAGGGTGGAGGGGGCCATGGAATGATGGATTTTCTGTCTAGTTGTCTTGTCTACATCGTGAAAATCATCAGGTTTCAGAGGTAAGCATGTAGTGGGTCCACATGACTGAGCTTACAAGCAGTTACCCTCCCTCCTCTTCTTCCCAGGCACCCCTCTCACACTAGGGGGCAGTGGAGTTACTCACACTTTGCACCCCTGCACTTTGCACCCTTTTTTAATGCAAAAGCCATCACTGATGTGCTCACACAGAGAAGCAATGACCAGTGGCAGCAGATTGCCAAGTCCTTCAAGGCACAGTTGAGTGAGGTCAGGGGCACTGGGGTACTGGAGCTTAGAGGGGCAGGTATGCTGGGCCTGGGGCAACTGCAGCTGCCAGAGATAACCTAGGAGACAACTCCATTTGGGGGAGGACCTTTTCTAGTGCCAAACCACTGGATATGTGGACTTATGGTAAAAAGAGACATAGGTGGTCACTACATTATGATCAAGGAGGCAATACACCAGGAAGATATAAGGCTCATTAATATACACTCACCAAATGAAGGATGATGAAAATATATTAGACAATAATTATCATCTCAGAAAACAGACATTAGAAAAATACAAATGTAGTAGGACACTTCAACACCCCACTCTCACCAACAGACAGGCCAAACTATATATACAAACAAGGACACTATAGACCTAAATAAGGAACTTGACCTCATGGGATTAACAAAACCCTGCACCCAAACAAATCTGAATTCACATTTTTCTCAAGTGCACGCGAATCATTCTCTGGGATTGATCGCATACTGGCCACAAGACAAACATCAACAGATACATGAAGATCGAAATCATACCAACTATCAATGAAATATGTAGAAGAAAACATAGGCAAAACACTCCATGACATACATTTCAGAAACATCTTTAAAGAGTCATCCCCCAAAGCAAAGAAAGTGAAGGAAAAGATAAACAGCTGGGATTACATCAAACTAAAAACTATCTGTACAGAAAAAGATATAATAACCAAACAAAGAATCACCCTGCTGATTGGGAGGAAATAGCTCCACCCCACACTACTGATAAGGGACTGATTTCAAAGATCTACCAAGAGCTCCTATGACTCAACAAAAACAAAGCAAACAATCCAGTCAAAAAATGGGCAGAAGAGCTAAAAAGACACTTCTCTAAAAAGGAAATTCAAATGGCCAAGGAAAAAAGCTCAAAATCTCTTATAACCAGAGAAATGCAAATCAAAACCACAATGAGGTACATCTTACAACAGTGAGAATGGTATATATTAAAAAAAAAAAAAAAAACTAGCAACAACAAATGTTGGCATGTGGATAAAAAGGAACTCTCCTATGCTGATGGTAGGAATGCAAACTGTCCAACCCCTGTAGAGAGCTATGTGGAGGTTCCTTAAACTTCCCTCCCTCCTCTCAGGCTTCCCCAGCACCACCCACCCATGAGGGGGTAGGGCAGTGGGGCTGCTCACACTGTGCACCCCTGCAGGGACCAAGAAGCAGGCCATCTCCAATGTGTTCACACAGAGAAGCCACCAGCAGCTGCAGCAGATTGCCAAGTCCTTCGAGGCTCAGTTCAGTAAGGCTGGAGCACTGGGATACTGGAGCTTAGGTGTGCTGGGCCTGGGGCAACTGCAGCCCCCAGAGATAACCTAGGAGACAACTCCATTCTTGGGGAGGGCCTATTCTAGTGGCCCAATCACTGCAAACACGGACTTATGGGACATACTTACCCCCAAAAATGATGCATGGTTTATCTCAAATTCAAAATTAACTAGCTGTCTTGTGTTTTAGTGGGAAACTTACTTTTCCCTCTGGGTGCCAGGGAAATTGTCTAACGAGAAAGAGGGTTAAAAGGCTTCAATAAATAAAATCTCAAGATTGTATTTTAGAAGTTTTCTTTCAAATCAAAACAGATACGTTGTCATTTACTAGAGAATGAGCCAGCACTTTTGGTTTTTGGTTTTTAAAAAAACCCAAACAATTTTACACAAAATGGTTTAGAGCTTGATTAGCCAAATTGGTTAAATATAAATATAAAAAATTTCTTTGTGCTATCAATAAACTGTTAAAAACATTATGTTTTAAACATCATTAGCAATGGCAGGAAAATGATGAGAAGACAGAAAGTAAAGCTCTCTTAGGGAAATTTCGTGAAAGGCATTGAACACCAAATTGGAGGAGACACTGCCTTGATCACTGATAGGGGGAGTCAGATTGCACATTCACATCCTTCCAATGGATCCCCCTAACCATATGATAGTAATCAAATATTATGAAGGTTTGGGAAGAACAGAGATGGGGTGCTGCTTCTAAAATTAAAAGTTCAGGGGTTCCAATGATTTCCATGGAGCAACCGAGGCAGTAATGTTCTCTTTCAATTTCTGGTCCATGCAAACTATGAACATGATAAAGTGGTTCTTCTTTAACTTAATAAGTTTGAGGTGGATGATTCACATCAATGGATAAGTGGAATCCCTCCTAAACAAATTGCACCACTTTCTTCAACTTCTAGACTGTCCCACCACCAAGAAGACAGCAGTATTCACTCAATGGCCATTACAGCACTCTGGTCTCAAAGCCATGACGCCCCACCAAGAGTGATGTCCTTCTCTGAGTCACCAAAGCTGCTCTGGTAGTTTGCAAAAACTCAGCTTCCTGGAGGACTTTAATGGCCACCAGTGAGGTTTCAGGATAAGGGACAAATGGAGGTTCCTCTCACAGCCCCTGCAGAGATGCCCTGACTCCCCGCTGAAAATGTCAGTAGGCAAGACACTGAGCAGAGCTGCAGTGAGCCACCACAGGGTCGCCATGCCAACCTCCCTGCCCATCACAAAACAGGGCATTATGTCTCTATGGGTCAGGGAGACACCCTGGCAGGCAGTGGGGCCTCCTCCCAGTGTAGTCCTACTCTGCCCTTAGTGCAGGTCTACTAGTAGAGGCTATTGTTACTTGATTCAAGGAAAGACTTGATTAAAGGGGTAGAGCCCCTAAATATTGCTTAAAACAGTGAAGGTCCTAGCTTGCCTGACTTCAAGAAATAAGTATCCCTTGCAGCCTCCAGGGCTGCCAGAAAATGGGAAGCAGCTACCCTGGGGCTCTGGGGCTTGCATTCCTCCTCTTGCTGGTTTTACCCCCTCTGCTGCCAAGCAGTGGGGCATACCAGCAGAGAGCCCCGACCTGGCTAGATTTCCACCACCTCACTCGGGCCAGGAGAAGCCTCCCCAGCAATACCAACCTGGATGGGGAGAGCACCCGCCAGGGCCACAGCCAGGACACAGGGTCCAGGGAGAGGCTGGCAGATCACAAGAAATCCTGCCAGAGCAATCTTGACCTCTATTTAATATTGGACAAGTGAGTAGACCTCCTACCGGGCCAGAGACTTGGGGGGCATTACGGGAGCTCCTTTCTCAGCATTTATTAATAATGTCCTGGGTTTTTCTTATCATTTTATGGTTGGTTTTGTTTCTCACCCAAATCACTCCATTTTTACAGACCTCCAGAAACACTGCTGAGTTGTCTCGGACCCTCTGTAGTGACAATGCCGAAAAGTCCTTTGCTTTGGGGGCTAAGTGTTTTTGCTACTTTCTTCCACCATCTATGTGTTTTCTGAACACTTTGCTCTCTGGGTGTGGTCCCGAGAAAGCTGGGCTCTATATAAGCCTTTATGACCTTGAACAAGGAAAGGGGTCCGGGGCAGTGGCTTGGAGACATGGCCTTGGTGGTTTCCAGCTCCTCTGCTGGGCTGAGAATTAGCTTCACTCTTCAGTAGTAGCCGTGGTATGACGTCGGTGACCTCATGGAAGCACGTGGCTGTTTCCAAAGCCCTTTCCCTGCTGTGCCATCCTCAGACAGGCCTGGGGGAGAGCAGGGAGGGTATCTGCCATCTCCTGGGAAGGGTGAGCGTCTCAGAGCTGAAGGCAGTAACCCAGAGACACTCAGGACGGCTTATCCACTGTTGAAAAATCAGATATAGAAGCTATCTATAAATATATTTTTTTTCTCCTTTCACCTATTATATATATGTGTGTGGAATGTTGGGGGCACATTTTATATCTTTGGGATGTGATAACCTCTTTATCACTATGACTATCCAATATTGTTTCATTTCCCCTGCATGAAATATCTTTTTCATCCCTCACATTCCATCTGTTTCTCTTTAAAGTGAAATATGTATCTATAGGCAACACATCCATAACTGGCCTTATGTGTCCATCTAATCACACTGCTCTCTTTGCTTGATGAATTCAATATTTTTAAATTTGGAGTGATTATTGATATGTAAGAACTTGCTACTGACAACATATTGTTTCCTAAATGTGATATATTTACATGATAGCTTTTTGCTTTCCTTCTGTTCTGCCTACCTTTGTAGACTGGGTTTCTTTATGTACATTCTGCTTCCCTTTCTAGCCTCTGCTTGTTTGTTGAATGTTTCTCTGGGGAAACCAGGACTTGGAGCTTTGAAATCTCCCTTTTTGTTAGCATCCCGCCATGCTACTAGTATTTGTAGTTTATTTTAACAATTATCAAGTAAATGCATGAACACAAAATGAAAATCAAACACTGTTACAAAGGTCTTGCGAAAAACTCCAGGCTTCTTTCCCACCGTCTCCACTTCTGATCCCACAGCTCAGAGAGAGCTCTTGAAAATCTTGGATCTTGTCAGGTTATGACTTTGTTTCTCATAACGGGCTTGTACTGACACCTTTCTTGCTGCTAGATAAGAAAGAGGCAGAGAGCTGGCCAAGGTTATTCTGCAAGGACTAGAAGGACCAGGAGAGTCAGAGTTACAGGATGTAGGAGGTTTTTTTCATAAAAGCATGCCACTTCATGTCTTATCTAGAGCTAGTGTGGCACAACCAACCATCCCAGTTTGTCTCCACAGGGTCTCCCTCTTGAATCCCTCAGTTGCAAGCACACAAATCCCATTGGTGCCGTCCACCTCATTACACTGACGAAAGTCACCATCAGGAAGGCCCTGGGGTTGCTGACAGTGTGCGGCAGCATAGGGGTGGGAGTAGCATGTTGGATGGTTTCAGATAAACTCTGCCAACTCAAAAAATTCACTCTGTTCCATTGATTTTTCATTCACAGGTCAGGAAGTGTGGACACCAACTGGATATTTATATACGACTTCGTAGAGCATTTCCTCAAAATATTTGAAAAGTATGACTTCTCCATGTGGTGGGGCTTTAGCAATGCCAGGCAGAGAGCCTGTCTCTTTAGACCCAGTGAAGATGGGTGTCACTTGCATCAGAGGCATGAAGCCCCGGGTGGAGTTCTGAACCAGTTAAAAATGCAGTTCACCCTGGTTCCATCGTTCCAAATGTCCTATGGACTTTGGTTGTTTACAGTGTTGGTGTCAAGTCACAGTGTAGGAAATACTGACCAACTAGAGGATGTCACAGATTAGAAACCAGCTAACCAGTAACACAGTAAAAAAAAAAAAACACTTATTTAGATAGTTCCAAAAAAATAGTTAAAGACCCTCATGGCAATTTTAAGAAATAGCAAGAATTCCTAAAGAAAATTCAGTGTTGGATTTCCCCAGGATATGGACACTAGAACTAGGACTGTTAGGAAGAAGGACAGGGTAACAAGAGCATCAAGGAGACTTCCTGTGGAGAGAGTGATGTGTTTAGGGGGACAGAGGGCTTAACTCACAGAAGGGGAGCAACTGAGTCTGGGACAGGGCAGCTTGGGGTCAAGGTTTAAGGGGCTCATACAGCCAAGCCAACGGGCCTCAATTCACGTGAGCAACAGGAAGTTATAAATGACTCGGGCTGAGTGTGGGTGATGAGGATTGTACTCCAGGAAAACTGATAATGGTGGATAAAATGAGTGGGAACAAGACCACAGCTACATGGAGTTCATCAGGGACTAGGACAACAATCCTCTAACAGACAAAGGGGGCCTGTGACCCAGAAGACAGTGGGCAGGGAGAGGAAAGGGACAGAAATTGTGAATGAGTGGCAAAAGGGACAATAATTTCTCTTAGATGGAGACAGAAAGAGAATATAGACAAGAAGGGAAGGGCCTTGAGTTTCCAAAAAATGTTACAGAAAGTAGGGGGTGGGGTATGGGTAGGCAGGTATAGGGACCTTCACCTAGTGCGTGAGGCATGAACCATGCATGTGTGTGTTTGTGTGTGTGTGTGTGTGTGTGAGAGAGAGAGAGAGAAAGAGACAGAGAGAGAGACAGAGAGACAGAGAGACAGAGAGACAGAGAGACAGAGAGAGAGCTATAGGGAGAGCTTGGGATCTAGGGATAGAGCAGGACACCACCCTGACAGTCTCCCTGGTGAGCCACACATTACTGGCCTCAGAATCTTTACTAAATTTATGGTAACTTCTGGAACTCAGGAAGGGGTCACAGGCTAGAGGGAAGTGAAGACAGGCAGGTGTCCCCTCCCTGGCTGCTCATGGGGTCATTTGAACCTCTGTTTATGACTCTCACATACACGTGCTTCCTCCCAGCCCGAACATGCGCATCTCGATAGTCACCTTCTCCACATGGGGCCACACCTTCCTAAAGCTCACCTCAGACAGGTAAGTTCAGGTTCACCCCCTCAAGGCAAACCTACTGGTGGTGGGAGTCAGGGAGATGGAGGCCCAGAGTAAAACTCTGCAGAGTCCTGAGTTTCAGTCTGGAGCCCACAGGCTTGCTGCCTGGGCGGGGCTGGCTTCTGCTCAGAGACCACCCTGTGCCCCCAGCATCTACTCCCAGCCCCTCTCATAACTCCGGCACTGACACTGGCAGCCCCTGTGTTTCTAGACAATCTCTGCTGCTCCAGGCTTGCTGTGCCGGCTCAGATCTTCACTTGGATCAGCCTGATCCAGCTCCCCCACCGCTTGTGTCCCACTCCCATCTGCTCTACCTTAGCAGCAGCTAGTAAAGGACAAAAGTGTGGCCATCTGCAGCTCACTGCTCCCCTGCCTGCATGGGCAGCAGTTATGGCCCCTTCCCTGGCTTAGGTCTTCCCTGTCAGGAGCTCTGAAATAGGAAGTCAGCACTCAAAGCAACTTTGCTGCTTCCTCAGATCCAATCCTGAAGGGAGAGAGGTTGTGGATTCCAAGTCATCCTCAGCGGACCAGGGCAGGGAGGAAGGCACAGGGCAGGAGTATTGCCAGGGGGGTGACCCTTACCAAACTCAGTCTTGCCTGGTAGAGGGTGATGAGCCCCACTGGGGACCCCTGAGGTACTGGCAGTCCTGGCAGTCCCATTGTGAGTTCCAGTTCATATTAGCGCAGTCACAACTTCTCTCCACTCTGCCTGTGGATGGTCAGACAGGCCCTTCAGGAAGCCCGCTGGGTCTACGAATCTGATGAAGTGATGAGTACAGACAAGATCAATTTTCAAAGACTAGGGCCTAAAAGCCCATGGCTCGGCTTCCTGACTAAGGCCTCCCTTGTCCAGGTCGGTCTGCTCAGTGCAGAATGTGCCAGCACAGATGGGGCTGTTTGAGAACACTCCACCCTTCTTCCTACTTCAATACTCCCATTTTATTGTTTTTAGAAAAGAAATCGAAGACGGTCTCAACAAACTACGCAACACAGTGCCTACCGGAAACACAAACATGCAGGAAGGATTTAAAGCGGTACAGCCAGAGCTCTAAGAATTTATCCTGCTTTAGCAAGTGCTCAGAATATCACTGAGTCCTCTCAACATGCCTTCCTGTTTTTGCAGGTCAATGAGCAGATCTCCACAGCAAACTCTGGAGGTAAGCTCTGCTGACTTTGTGACTATTGGATCCTGGACAGTCAGGCCGAAGCACAGCAGTCTGGTGGCCCCCACTTGGAGCTGACTCTTGTGCAAGTTTCCTGCCCAATATGTCCTCCAGGCTCCTCGTCTGGAAGGGCAGAGGGGAAGGGCAGCCCCCCTGCTGATGCAGAGACTTGCAGGGTCATGGGTGTACATTCCTGGTTTTTATTAAGTATGAGGCACCCGATCTACAGGTGAGCTTGTGGAAAAGGGATAAAGGCCAGGGGGCACCTCGGGCAGACAAGACTCCGCTTATGGAATAAAAGTTCTTGATTTTCCCCTTGCTGACCACACTTTGCTGCGTTCCCATGGCTGGAGCTGCCTCCTTCCCCTTCATCGTCTTCCCTCTGCTGACGCTCCTGCTGGCCTGTGTGTCCCCAGGGCTAGCAGCTGTGTCAGCCCAGCACCCTCTCCATTGGGATTGAGTCTGTAGGGTGGATGCTTCAGGCACAACAGGTGAAAGTGGGAGACTGTGGGGAAAGGCTGACATCTGGACTCAAGGTCCACTCCCCAAATATCTCTTCCCTGTTTCTGACTGACTGGGCCCCAAGGGGCCAGCAGTAGTGCCTCTGCCTGCTCTGAGCCTGAAGGACAAGTTTTTGTTGGTAAGACTGCTTCCTCATTGCTCTCGGGAAAGGCATGAACTTGTCCATTGAATTAGCTGGACTCGCCCTCAGGAAACAGGATCTGCCATCTGTAGCAGTGAGAATCCAGAAAGGAAAGTCCACAGACAGACTCAGTCTCCTACTTTGTAAAGTGGGTCAGCTAAGGTGTCTTCTCCCTCCAGATGACTGCTCCACAACCCTCTAGGCACTCAGGAATGTGGGTGCTGGGTTCTGGCAGCCTCTCCCAGGGGGAAGAAGCTGGGGGGCAGCATGTGGCCTTCTCACCTGCATTTGGACTCTCTGGGGGACAATAATGACCAGGCCACTCGTTGCTTCTCCCACAGAAAAGAAAATTCACTCCATGGTTATCTCCCTAATTGATGGAGCACTTTGGCCAGAGTCCTTTCAGGCTACCAAGAATGAAGTGAGTCCAGCCCACCTTGACCAGCCTTTGCTCCACATGTTTAGTGATTTACACTTAACACGGTCTTTGTCTTAGGCTCAGAGGACTCGACAACTGGGAGGGACTGTTTACACTGTGGGTGTCAACAACTACGTGAAAAACCAGGTAATTCAGAACAGGAGCCAACTGAGAAGTCTCGATGTGGAAAGCTTTGACAGGGCCACCTAGAGGATGGTTCTCTAACCCACCCCAAATATCTGGACAACATGTGACCACTGCAGAAATGAGTAACTGTGTTGTATGAGCCCACACACCTGGGGAACAGTTAGAACTTTCCATTCCAGAAAGTTGGGCTGCTGGCCAGGGTGGGACACTGAGTCTCACATGGCATGAGGCCTGAACCCGAGGTCTGGGATGGTGTCCTGCTGGTCCTCACCTCTGCTGTGGGTCCAAGTTTTCTGCTCCTCCTTGTAGCTCCTGGCAATTGCAGACAGCGAGGGGCACGTGGTTGGTGTGGACAGTGGATTCTTTGATCTGAGGAACATCGTTGACTCAGTGAGAGAGGGGTGGTTTGGGAGTGGGATGAGATGGCTCTTACCATGCCCACTCTTCACCTTACCTGACCCGAACCACTCTCTGTTCCAGCTCGCAGCTAAGTCCTGCATTGAGCTGACAAGTGTGGAACCGACCAATTACTGTGTGGGAGGTAAGAGCTGGGTCTCTTTTCTGAACAGACATGTGTGCTTGTGTGTGTTTGACATTGTGCTTGGATGTGTGTGATGGATGTAGTGTACTGTGCAATTGAAATGTGTGATATAAATACATATGTGTAAATGCTCTTTATTCCCAGTTTTCATGAGCTAGAGTTGACATACAGTTCTATGTAAGTTGAAGGTATATCACATAATGGTTTGACATATAAAACTTAAGTGATTAGCAAAAGATTGTAAAATTCTTTTTTTAATCACAAAATCAGAAGTTTAATTAAAAATGAGGAAAATATAATATAGTAGCAATGAAACCCAAGGTCTTCTGACAAGTAAAATACTTCTGAGCCAATTTGGGATCACCCCAGAAGCACAGGGCTGACACAGAGTTGAAACATCAGTGTATTCCTCCCATCAGCCAAATGAAGAGGAAATGATGATTTCAGTGTATGAAGAAAAAGTTCAAAGTCCAGTGTCTTAATAAGGGCATAAGGTGACCAACATCCCTCCACGCAAACACTCCCAGCTGGCATCAGCTTCAGGGTTAATAGGAAGGCCTCTCCTGAGAGCTCGACCAAGACGAGGCTGTCTGCTCCCCCTGAGGGTCCTGCAGCACTGCAGTGAGGAGGTCCGGGCACTTCCCTTAGGCTACAAGGCCTCTCTCTGTAAAGGCCTGTGAGTGCAGGTTGTGCTGCCGCAGCCCTGGAGCAGACAGAGGAGGCCCACGGGTAAGCACGCCCTTCCCGGGAACAGCACACAGCCTGACCCACCGCATCCTGACCCAGACAGCTGGCTCTGCCTCTGTGTCCTTGCTGGGAAGGCTGGAGCACCCTCACCTGGGTCAGACAGAAGGCTGTTTCAGCTGAGCTCTGCTGCCCGTGGCCAGCCCCAGGGAGCAAGGGACCCAGATCTGCCAGCTCCTCTGTTGTCTCCAAGAGGCAGAAAGATCTCCACTCCGTGAGAGAGGGGAGGCCAGTGGATTGTGCAGGGACCAGCTCAGAATAGAAGCAGGCAGACTTAAGGAAGAGTCGTGGCGCTCATATTCCCATGACTGACCATGGCTCTGCTGCCCATGCTTGCCCAGGCGGGGAGGGCGTGGCTACAGAGCTTCCAGGATGGAAGAGTCTCTGGACTCATCCTGACTTCTCTGAACCTGTAACCTGCAGTGCCTCAAGTGGGCTGGGTTAGAAACACACTTGCCCCACCACCCACAGCACACATGGGTCTTTCCTTGTTTTAAGTCCCCACCCATGCAGGAAACTGGCAGCCTGGTTTCTCTGGGCATGTCCAGGGAGACACCCAGGCAGGAGTGTCTGAGCAGCACGTGAACACAGAGGGGTGCGGAGACCAATCATACCCACCCAAGGTGACAGGAGCCCTCCTCACACCCCCTGCCAGCCTGGCCCAGCAATCCCTGCTCTGTCCTTGTAAACTGTCTTCTAGTCAAAAGCTGCCACCCAGTGTCACAGTCATTTGTGGAAAATTTCAAGGCAGACACCTACACTCAGGAGGAATCAACCGAGACTAATAGTGGCCAGGGAGCCCTGGGGCACAGATGGTTTATCACGAGGGCTCAGCCTCGTCAACCCCACAGGACACCTCAGAGTCCAGGGAGAGTCCTCTGCTCCCTCCCTGCCTCAAGGTCCTGGCTCCAGCCCACACTCCCGCAGGGCACCATGGGGCTGAGAAGACCATTTCCCTAATCCCAGCCTGGCTGGGTTGGTGAGACCCTCAGATGGACAAGCAGGCCATGCAGATATGCCCTCTTCTCTAACCCTGCGGACCCAGAGGCTGGGCCCGGGCTAGACTTCCTGCAAGCCCTTTTCCTGCTTTACGGGGTTCAGTCAACCAGTCATTTGGGAACTTTCTCTCAGGTCCACTGACCCAAGAAGCTTTTCCTGGTCACCTGGCCCCCCTGTCTTACCCAGATTCCTCTCATTCTCCACTGGTCATGCAATAATGTCGTGACTACTCTTGCTTTTCTCATTCAATCTGATTGTCTTTCAGTCTTTCATTATGCACATTTCCAAACCTGCAGCAAATGGAAGCAATTCTACAAGGAGATCCTCTAACTGGATTTCTCAATTAAGAGCTGACCTAATTATCACTTATTATCTAGCTCCATCTCTCTTTCTCTGTCCCCATCAATCCCTCTTATTTTTGAAAGTTTTCAAAGTAAATTAGAGTCATCAGGCTGTTCCACACCCAACTTTGTCATTCTGCTTATGACAAACAAGGGACCAATTTTCCCGAGTTGTCTTTTTGAAATGCACACATCATCACATCGCAATTATATTATGTGTGAGTCTCACAGATGCACACACACATCTGCATAACGCAGACCCCATGAGGACACACACCACCACAGCTGCCCCTCAGTCCCCTGCATCCTGGCGGCAGCACCTCTCCAGCCTGTCCCATTGTAAGTCTACCAAATATAACTACCATGAATAGGTGATCCTATTCTAACATATAGGTGATCCTATATGCTAACATCTCGTTCTACATACACTTCCAAAAGGCATTTTTAATAAGCGGGAGCACACGGAACATTAGATTGTCCACCTTCCACTGCATGCAAAAGCCAAACCTTGGTGTCCTTGGTTGATACTCCGGTACTTCCTAATAAGTGGGAACACAGTCCCTGCCCCTGGCCACGTCCTCATTCTGACCTCTCTGCGGCCACTTGACAGAATTTCCCTGGGGTGAACGAGAAGTAGAATAGCCACAATAGGGGAAAACAGGGCACTAGAATTAGCTAGACATGAGTTTGAGCCACCAGTGCAGGATAATGACCTTGACCTACAGCAAGAAGGCCTTCATAGTATCCTGTCTAAATCCAGGCTGCCAAACCCACAACTGCCATCACTGTATCCCCTTGTATTTATTCTAGGGGAGAAGATGCCCAGTGTCCAATCGAGGGGTAGGACAGATGTCCCTTAGCAAATCACTCCCCACCCAGCAGAAGGAAGAGCTTTCCATGAATCCCTAGGCAGGGAAGAGAGGAGGCTGCAGAGGGTCAATAGGAGTGGAAGAACAATCATCTTCAGGGATCTGCCTCACAGCTAAGGGAAGGGGGACTCTTTGGTAGAGGATCAGCAGCTCCTTGCTGGTCTCACTGGGTCGCACCTTATTCCTGAGCTCACTAGTCGGCCAGGGGCACACAAAAAGGTGGTGAGGAAAAACAGACCCCATATGTCAAGTAATTTCACAAGCAACAAGTCCAGGGTGCTCAGTTCAAGCAAGAGACAGAGGAGTGCAGCCTGCATTGTCTCACACCGATCTTGTTTAAGATGGCACTCTGGTGGAGGTTGGAAAGCACTGCCTGCACCCCTTAGGGAGTCTCAGAACTTAAAGGTTGTAAACCACATCGGGTTTATTTATGGAGGTGGGACCAGGTGGAGCCTTGTTGGCCTGTGCCAGTTAGCAGCTGTGGTGAGAGTGCCTGAGAGCTCCTCCCAGCCTCCTCACAGTGGCCCCTCAGAAACACCAGGTGAGCCTCAGGAGATAGAGATTTTGGTACAACAGCTGTCTCCTCCAGAGTCCTTTGGGGGCTCCCACATTGGGGGCACACTGTCATAGTCTGAGATCAGCAGACAACAGAGCTCACCCCTCCTTACACACACTTTTGGATGTTGCCCTTGCAGAAAACTACGATGTAGGCGTCTTTGGAAGAGGTTTTCATAACACCAAAAACAAAAACGAAGTTCTTTGCAGGTTTAAGATAGTTGACACCGTATTTTTTGGTAAGTAGCTCCCTTGATTTGAACAAATAACAAATTTCCCACAACATGCTCTCTTCCCTCAGGCACCATGCCTCCAAAACCCTTGATGCCCATACGCTATGGGTGCTGGGAGGACAGAGGCAGCACCGAGAGTGGAAGAAGGGACGTGGGTGGGACCCATCCATCCAGGCCATGAAAGCGTCTGGGATCAGGGCTGTTCTCTGTGAGGAGGGTCTTCCCTCACAGTTGCTTCCCCTGAGCTTTCCTCATCTCTCACTTTCCCTGAGAGACAAGGACCCCAATCTCATGGTTCGACCAGGTGAAACTGGAAGCTGTCCTGGGCTCTGAGTTCATGCCAGGTGCACTGGTAGCTTCCCAGGAGGGAATATTCACCTTCAATTGAGAGAGGAGGCCAAGCAGAGGTGCAGGTCCTGGGATCTGGCACAGGCACACATTCCCTGTGTGACCATGACCGTATGAAATTTCCCTTCTTGCTCGATTTCCCCTACTGTGAAACGGGAGCAATATAACAGCTGCACTAACTAAGCTCTACGACGTATGGAAGGCATTATCTGGCGATACTCGCACATCAGGTGTACCTCCATGATGGAGGAACGGCCTGAGGGAGCACACAGCTAGGACAGGCTGGTGTCCTGCCCTCATGGTGAGGTGGGTGTGATCATCCCTACAGAGTGTCTGGGGTCCAGTTGGATTTCCCGAAACCCTCACTCTCTCGGCCTCTTGAAAATGTCATTTCATGTGATGTGATATTAAATGAATGCCTGTTGCAGGACCATGGGATAAACCCAGAGCAACTCCTCTCCCCAGCGCACTCCTAGCCCATCTCTCCTTGCTGCCAAGGGTGCAAAGAATAAAGCAGGGAGTGCCACTGCCACACCCAACCTCACCATGCGTAGCTGGTCTTGGGGAATTAGCTTTCCTTTGTTCTATACTTCTCAAGAGTGATGCAGGGACTGAGAACTCCGTCATAGAGAAGTAATGCATTCTGAGTGGGCGTATGTTCGCAGGGCCTTACATGCAGTATCCTGGTTCTCAAAAGAGGCCTATTAGCACTTCTTTGAATGGATTTGCACCTGTAGCAGAGTCATCCAAACATTTTGCCCAACATCATGATCCTACGGGGCTGTGCATACCAGCCTGCATCTGTCTACAAGTTCAAAGACACGGTTTCAGCTAGGGTCATGAGATGTCCAATTAAACAGAAGGCCAGGGAAAGGATTGTCCTATGGATCACTGTGGTGAAAAGCAGGTGGCCCTTGATTCCAAATCCCAGAGGGGAAGCATGGGGCCTTGCGGAGCCTACCTGGGTGCATGGAAGGGTAAATCAGACTCTAAAGGGAGCTGATCCTTCAAAACTTGGCCACAATTCAGGGGTAGAAAGAACTCAGAAGTAAGCAGGATCCACAACTACAAGTCAGGGAGCTCTTTTGAGTCTTCTGACTGCCATGCTCACTTAAAATATCAGTAAGCAAAACCATAGAAGAAAGAAATCCCCTATGTCAATAAATAGCCCCACCATCACCCACTTGAGCTGGTCAAAACCTGCATGTCATCCTTGATCCCTCTTTGCTTTATCCCCATATTCAGTCCAGGGTAGGTTCTATTTCTTCGATGTCTAAAGCATGTGCTGAGATGGCTCACCCCTCAACAGACTCATTGTCCTTAGATTAAAACCCGAACTCTTCCAGGACCATGAATTCCATCCCACCTTTCATGTTACTTCTACAACTCAGGTAGTGCTGCCTCAGGGCCTAGACACATGCTGTTCTTACAGGGCAGAACACTCTGCCCTGGGACCTTACCCTGGCTTTCACTCATCACATTTATGAGGATAGCACCCTCATAAATAATTTATTTCTAATGAAAATGTTCAAAATAGGGCTACCCTGTTCATGCAAGGGGTTAAAACACCACACTATGAAGTAATCCACAGTCTGGACAGCATGAGTTTGATCCCCGGCCGGCCAGGGAGCAGCCCAGATGGTGAGGAAGACCTCTCCTGTCTTGTCCTCTCAGCAGAATATTTCAGTTAGTCTGCCTGTTCTGTTCCCCACTCTGTCTCTGGTGAATCATCTCACCTCCCGCATCTCTGGCCTGCACCCCAGCTCTTGTATGCATAAATAAATAAATCTTTTTTAAAAATGTTCAAAAACATTTAAAAAATAGAATTATTGAAAAAAGAACTCGAACACCATCACTTAAATTTGGTAATTATCAAAATAAGATAATCCATTTTTGAAGCAATACCAGCATGAATTCATTTAATGGATAAATAGTTCAGTTTTCATCAAGATAACAGATCACCTTGTTCCTAGCACCTGCTTGATCCCTCCATTCCGCGTCCCAACCCTGTTCATTAATGTCACAATTTTAATTCCCTGGCATTTATTTAATTTGTTTGTGTTTTATTGCCTGCTTTCCTGCCAGCCACACAAACGTAAGCCCTGAAAAACCGGATCCCATTCAACGCAGGCCATAGCCCTTGCTGGTATTGGGGGCTGCTGAGAGGGCAGAGAGGATAAGCTGCATCTGCCCCACAGAGCTGCACCAGCCAAGGGCAGGCAGATGTGAGTGGGGGTGGATGGGCACATCCACTGACTTTCTTCCTGTCTCATTTGCTTTAGATGAAAAAGCCACCCAGGTGGATGACACCAGCATAAAGTGTCCGGGAGTGAAGATAGACGTAGCAGCCAAGTAAGTGCCACTCTGGGACAGGCAGGCATTTTTGCCCAAGAGATGCAGAATGTGGGCGACCTCTACTGGGCAGCATGTGACGTGCTCTGTCCTGACCTGCCTGTCTTGGAGCTTCCCCAATGGGCTCAGGGATCTGCTGTGCTGCAGGCCCTGCTGAGGACAGGATGTGGAAGATGAGGGACCCAGGGGGTTCCTTTACTCCCAGCAGCCTTCAGAGCGGAGCCAGCACAATGCAAATATGCAAGAGTCAGGATGGTGACACCACACAGCCTCCCTGGTCACTGAGCGGGTGACCACAAAGCATCTGACCCCATGCAGAGTCCCTCACTGGTCATCCTCATCACCGAGGTGGACCTCGTGGGACTTGGGGTGGGGTCTCCTCCCCAGGCCGTCTGCCCTCCAGTAGCCCCCAATGCCTGATATTCAAAGCCATCACAGTAGGGAGAGCTGTGGGCTATGGTTTGAGCAGATACCAAGAGCTGTGCCGACCTGCACCTGTGGTCCCCATCTGTCCTTTCTGTGTTTAGCGAGATCTCTGTTGAAGTGAGCCTGAACAACGGTGCCAGCTTCATCAGCAACGGGCTCAAGATCAGCAGCAAGGACTGTGGGAGTCACAGGGTAAGTACATGGTCTCCCTCTGGGCTGCCCAGAAGCCTGCCCAGGGGAGGGAGTCATCTAAGGAGGCAAGAGAGAGGACCAGTGCCCAGGACAGGCCTAGCAAGTAGCAGGTGCTGGCAGGTCTGGGTGGCCTCTCCCACCAATGAGGCCCTTAGCTCTTCATCAGAGTTGGGATGAGTCTGGGTGGCATCTAGGATCCCTGGGGTGCAGCCATCTTAGCATGACAGACGCCCTCTGCCCTCTGAACACAGTCATTGAAGGCAGGTACAAGGGAGAAATGAGAGACCCAGGCAGATTCCAGAAATGGTGTTGAGGCTCTTCCCATGCTAAATACCGCCTGGCCAGCAACCCTAACCTGGACTTGGTGGGGAAGTAGGGGAACCATCTTAATCCAGCGGGTGTCAGTGGGGGTGCTAGGAGGTTCAGTGCAAGGAACCAGACTCCAGGATCTGGGCACCGGGCCTTCCCAGCAGGCTCCATGCACAGGGGATGTGGAGGGGACAGCTGGGCCCTGCACAGTCAGGGTGCGTTTCCTCTGCATTGGTGCCCGGAGTGTGACCATCACAGCCCCTGGGACCCTGAGGACACTGGCTGTCATTTTTCAGATCCCTTTAGCCCCTCTCCTCCTTCCTCCTTTCCCACACTCCTCAGCTGTCCTGGCTGCAGCTCTCCCTACATCTCTCTCCTCAGCTGGAGGAGAAGCTATCAGGGCCCTGGGAGGGATCAGGAGTCATCTCAGCAAGGGACAACGGGGAAGGAAAGTGACAAGCACTTTCCATGTCCCCCATCACCCGGGCACCGTAGCCCAGGGCAGTGAGGCATGGCAGTGGCAAGCATTAGGCTGGAGAAGAGTGTGCTGGGGAGCAGGGCTTCGGTGCCCGATTGCCAGATCCTGGTGTCTTGTACCTGCTTGTGAGGATCCCCACCAGCTGACATCTCTGTGTTGTCTGCATTGTGTCTGCACATCCACTCAGACCGGCCAGAGGACGCGCATCAGCCCCTCAGGATTCCCGCCGACGCACAGCTCGTCTGTCATCAGGCCCATGAGGAAAGTCCTCAGGAGAAACGCAGGGCTGGCCCAGGTACCACAGGTGAGCAGTCTTGACATTACCATTCTCTCTGCTATCCTAGTCCCCAGGCATTACACCTCTCTCCCGCCTGCTGCTCTGAGCAGAGACTGCGTGGGGACACACCTGAGAACCACTCATCCTAGGTTCAGAATGACAGCCAGAGACAGCCCCTTCCTGCAGCCCCACATGAACCTGGCCTGTGCCAGGACTTTGATGACCCTCCACACCTCACAACCCTCTCACCTCCTGCTCACATGTGGACACGGAGGTGCAGAGAGAATTAGGAACTTAGCCCATGGTTCAGAACCTACAAGAGAGGGGAGCCCTCATGTGCAATGGACTTGGGTCTCCTGCTCTGCTCTTGTACTCCCACCTCTCAGGGAGCCCCACCCTCCCCCAGACACCCATCTGTGTATGTGTACAACTGTGTGTCCCTGCACTGCCAGCCAGCGCTTGGGGTGGGGTTTGGGCTGGTCACTCCTCAAGGATTTTGGTTTCCTTGAAAGGGCTCTGGGCTGAGCCTCTGAGCACGGCTAGTGGGGCGAGTGCGCCCCACCTCCACAGTGGGCGCTGAACATAGTTGGGTCTAGTACTGTGTTCCGCCCACGTGGCAACCTGCAGAGAATGTACATGGGCCAATGGGGAGCCTAGAGTGCATGCTGGGCATGGGTGTCTAGGAGGCCCCAGGCCCACACTCCTGGTGTTTTCTCTTTGCAATGTGCAGCCACCTGCCGTTCCCAATGTGGCGGCCGCAGGTTCTGGAAATCAAGGCACACAGTTCCCCAACATCAACGCTTACCACTTGGCTGCATGCATGCTTGTAATACTAATACCTCTGGTGATAGCGTGCTTGTGGCGACTCTACCGCAGAAAGGTTAGTGCACCTCCCTGAGCCCAGAGAACTCCCCTAGGAACCGTCACCAGCTGCCCTGGGTCTCTGCTGCTCCCCAGAGTGCACGGACTTAACAGGAGCAAAGGGAGACACATTCTCTGCCCTCATCCCCAGGCAGATAGTTGACCTGGCAGGGGCCTCTGGCCTTGTGATTGCTCAGTCTGAGGTCTGTTGTTGCCTGGTCCTTGGAGAGAAGGGCCCAGAATCCCAGGCAGGGCAGACTTATGGTCCCCGGGCTCTGAGCACACAGGCAGACAAGGGACAGAGAGGAGAACTCTGCTGTTGAGGGAAGAAGCAGAGGCCCAACAGGGCACAGAAAGAGCAGGACTCCCAAGCTCTGGGCAGCCGAGCTTTAGAAATCAGCACAAAGGAAAAAAAAAAAGAGGAAGAAATCAGCACGGTGTCTGCACATCCCCAGTGCTGCTTCCACCTCCCTCCATCTTCTTCCTGAGTGCCAGGGGGTGCTGCCCATACTGCGCACACAGGAACAAAAAGAAAGCAGCTGCCAGCCTGTCCACAGCAGCTACAGTCTGGGGTCTGGGCAGGTGTTGGTACCTAGGCGGGCATGAGTGGACCACACAATCCCACCTTCTGGGGACCACTAACCCTGATTAAGGAGAGCAATAACAGAGGACAGCCAGGCCAATATAGGGGGACAGCAGAGCATGGTAGTGGTAGCAAGGACACTGCTGGCTGGAGAGAGGGAGGAGCATAGGAGAAGGCACAGCAGCAGCCAGGAGCGAGCGGGTCTAGAAAGCACCAAGCACCGCGTCCCCTCAGATAACTGAGGAGTCAGGTGCTCAGGGACATGCAGCCTGCTGGCCACAGACCCAGAGGGTGGGCACCCACAGTGACACCCAAACCATGTTCTCACTCACTCCCGCTGAGCAGAGTCCCCTCCTGCCTGTGTGGACCAGCCAGAGCTCTGTAAAAACCTTTCATCCTGTGTACGTCTCTTTCACTTTCTAGAACAAGACGGTGGTGAGTTGTTTTTTTGTTCCTGATGCCCACACAGACTTCACAAACAGGCCTCCTGAGCTGTGGGATATCACCATTTCCCACCCCACCATCTCCACCTACCTGGACAGAGAGAGCTGGCAGAAAGCAGGGTGACAGAGGGGCAGGGAGGGAATCCTGGGAGGACCTAAGACTCACAAAATGGCATCAGACAACACCCCTCCATGCTCCCAAAGGTCTGATCCAGAGCCTCCGTCACACTACAAATTGCAGTAGCTGTTGCAGCAAGTGCCATGATCCACAGTGACATGACCAGGGCTTTACTTTTGGTTTGTGTGTCAGTTCCCAACGATTGGTCATTGGCTGGTCCTTCCCTGGGTTAAGTGAGCAGTTGGAAAAGGAACCTCAGGGTTCCAGTACTGGTCACCCCCCTGCAGTCTCTGACCCTGTTGGGTTGCATTTCTTTGGTTTCCTCCTTGTTTCCTGGCAGGTTGGGGGATTGACTGGGCTTGTCCTTTGTGCACTTCAGGGCTGAGGAGGGTGGAGGGAGTCTTACCTGGCATGAGCTGTGCGGGAGGCCCAGGCCAAGTACACCAGTGACCAAGGGTCAGCTGAGCTGCCTGTGGCTCTCCTGGGTAAGGAGGCCCAAACAGGACCCACAGAATGTGCACAGCAGGGCCATTGTGACCTATAACGGGGAGACCTAGGAAGCAGGCCCCACTCAGAGGCTGGCTTCAGTGCTGCTGCAGTGTGGTCAGGGAGGCTGCATCTGCCAACACCAGGCCACTCAGCCTCTGCTGACACTCCTCCTCGATGTCCACATTTACACTGTCAAACCCCATGACCAGGCTTCTCCAAAGGGCAGTGCAGGAAACCCAGGGGGCAAGAGTGAATTTGTTGCCCTTTGGGGAAGGATCATTTTTGCAAAATATGTGGAGTTTGCCTGTGCTTCCCACGGAGGGCCTCCCTTGCAGTACAAGGTGCTGTTAATCAGTTGTCCTTGAATCCTCCCAACAAGCTTTAGCTGAGGGGCCAGAAGTTGACAGGTGCCGGGGCAACACCTCATGTGTCTGCACTTGGAACTGCCACTCAAAAATTTCTCTTCCTAGCAACCATGTGCACCACCAACGTGCCCCACGGTGGTGGTCCCTGGTGGTGGACATAGCGACATAAGACAGCTAGAGGTAAGAAGGGTCCTGGGGAAGGGTGCTGTGCACCCAATTGGGGCTATGGAAGAGAGGGTACAGACAGGGCGGGCCCAGAAGGCATGGCTTGGATGGAGATGAGTTTTAAAGTAGCTGAACTTTGCTCCCTTGGCTGCAGTACCAGGCTCTCCACTCAGTGGGCCGAGGTTTATGGAAACAGTGACTACACAGAGGTTCTCATCAGCACCAACAATGTCGTGGGTTCCCTGAGAAGTGGGTTTGATGTAAAACAAAATCACTAGATTCATGAAGGTCAGAATGTAGAAGAAATAGGAATTTCTGAGTCAAATTCTTTCCCCCGTTAAGTGGAAATGCTGGTGCACCTGCTGTCCGCAGAAGCCGGCTCAGCAGAGTGAGAAAGAAGCCACTGCCTTGTCCTCCTGCTCTCAGCCAGGGTGACAAGGGTCACATGGAACAGAGGCCTGAGGGAATGTCCTTCCCCAGGAAGCACTAGGGGCCCCCCTGCTGAGTCACAACCCAGAACCAGGGGCCCCCACCACAAGAATAGAGTCTAGATGGCTGGTGTGGAGGAAAAAGGAGCCCACAATTTCTGCCTGGCTTTGTCCTGCCTCCTGGTCCTGCCTCTGTCCTGCTTGGGCCATGGCTTCCTCCAGGAGCTTCTATGGCATCAGGAGAGCCAGCCCTGCCTTCCTCTCAGTATGCAACACAGCGGTGCCCAACACACCTTCCAGAGAGGTGGAAGCCCTGACCAAGGGCTTGTTCCTGCTCACAGGACATGGCCACCCCTCTGAAAACACCAGGGTGGAGCTGGAGCGCAGGGTCCAGAGCTCCCTTCGGATCCCCCACCAGGGATCCGGTCACTCTGTCTGTCCTGAGCTGCCTCTTCTCTCCACCCTCCGTCAGCAGGACCCTGCACACTGATTGGGCATGGAGCCTCTTCCCTGCGTTCCCTGGTGGGCCTCATGAGTGCAGGCCTCCTCCTTCCTTCCATCTAGCTCCTTCCCAGGTACCCCGCAGGCACCTCATGTTCCCCTCCAAGACACCGCAGATCACCTCCAGCCTTGTACTTTAGCTCTGCTCGCAGCTCCTGGCTTGTCCTGCAAAAAATAGTAATTTGACTGATCCCTAAACAATCCCTGACCCACACCCTCACCCTCCAAATCAGGTCCCTTGCAAAAGTAAATGCATCCCAGGGAGTTTGTGGGTACAGGGCTCAGGTGACTTTGGGAACTGGAGGGGACACTGTCCCGCTGGAGGCAGCAGCCAGCTCAGAGCTTCCTCACAGGCTCTTCTGCTTTCCAGGACAAACTGGACACTCTGCGCATGCAGATCATGTGCAGTTCGTTTCAAAACCGCAACCGGGGCCCAGTGATGTGTTGTCAACCCAGGCGCAAGGTAAGCAGGGCACAGGGATGCTCCCCAAGGACAGTGTCCTCTGCTTATTGCCCTTGACAGCTGCCCTCTGGGTTGTGGGGTCCTGGCATCTGTCAGAAGAATGTCAAAGACAGGAGAGGTGGTGCCCAGGAGCCTCCAGCTGATTCTTGACAGCTGATTATTTTCATCTCAAGGATGGCTGGAGAGAAACATAGAACATTACCCAGCACTTCTAAATTTAAATGAAAAGGCTGGAGAAACAGTCAGTTGGGGGTTGTAGGTGCCTCCATCCCCACCCGGCACCAGGGCTGTGGGTCAGCTGCTGCCTCCCATGCTGAGGCCCTCCTGGCTGGGATGGAGACACACCCTCAGCACACACCTGGTAGCCTGGGGAACTCTGGGGCCTTCGTTTAGTCAGAATACGTCCTTATTCACTAGGGTCTCCAGCAGGGTACGCAGATACAGTCAACATCTGAGCAAAAGGGAGTTCCGTGCCAGAGCCCTGGGTGGCTGGGAAGGCTGGACACACCCCAACACCTGACAGAGCCAAGGCAGGAGGACAGCCAGGGAGAGGAAGGGCATCCTCAGAGGTCCTGCCTTGGGCCCAGCCCCATAAGCCAAGGAAACCACAAGTTTCTGTTCCCAATTCCAGTGCTTCTCACTGACCTCTCTCTTCTCTTCCCACAGCCATGTCCCTTATTCAGGACCCGAGGTGGCAGGATGCGCAGATACCCACGCTGCTGCCATCAACCCAGCCCGGCGTGCTTTTCCCTCAACTGCTGCTGGACGCGTTGCCCATGTACCCAGTGCCGATCTCCCCAACCCATGTATTCCCAGCCCCCACAATTGGTCTGTACCAGGCAGCCCTCCAGGATGTGTCCAATGATCCCTGGCCCTATGGGAAGATGCGGTGGATTCCCTTTGCCACTTCCACCCCCATAGCCCAGTCCCTAAATCCTCCAGATCTAATGTTAAGTTCTTTATGTACTTAAGTGGACATGTGTGTCGAGTCTTGGTTTACAGTCAAAGGAGTTGGATGTGGTCCATCAGCAGAAGTGGTTCCCCAGCCAGCCCTGCTCCGCTGTGCAGGATGTGGCCACACTGCTCCTGCCTGGACAGAGCACCCCGATGTCCTCTGGCTGTGCACATGGATGAGTCCCCTCCCCACAGCCTGGTCTTCATCAGCCACCAAGGGCTGGGCCACATCAGGTTTTAGCTAAATTCTGCTTTTGCAAAATGCCAGAATGTCCTTGAAAGAAAATACAATCCTTTCTCCTTCCCAAAATACATGGAGAGAAGAACACTTTACTATCTCACCTCCCTCACTCCCTTTTCTTTTCATTTTTTTTATTACAACTTTCTGAATATGTCATAATAAGAGACAAGATCCTCTAAAGTTCACTAATTAAAAGTGCAACTTGTCTTTCCAAATACCCCAAACTGCCCCTAAGCCCAGGAGGATTTTAGAAGATTCTCTCCACTTCCCTAAGAGAAGGTGAATCTCCCCTTTTGCCACCATGTATCCTGACAGGGATTTAGCACAGTGTCCTGGCGCTCTGCCCAGCACAGGGCATCTGGGCACTGCCCCACATGCAGACACACCACCCAAGGAACCCCATGAGGAACCCATGAGGAGCCCCTAGAGGGAGGGTCCCCAAGTGAACCACAGCCAGCTGTCCCTGCAGCACACTGATAGTGATCTGAACTACTGTCTGCCCTCACCCCAATATCCTTGAATGCTATAGTTATGCTTCAGTTGAATTTCTCTCAGACAGCTAAAGGTAGAAATATGTCAGGTTTTGGTTTTTCATCTGTGTTGACTGAGTGGATGGATAGGGTTGACTAACTTTCCCCAGGTTTGAAAAAATGATTTTTCTGTAAGTGCATGTATGGATTTGCAGGAGTACACTAAGTCACATGACATTTAGCTTTGAAAGCATTTATACCTGGATTGCTTCTCCTTGTACCCCAACATGACCCCTCTGACAGGTGTCAGGGGCCTCCCCCATGGCTAGCACAGGAGAGGAAGAGAGCGGATCTGCCCCTTGTGGGCTGTTCCCTTCCTGCCAGCAACTCTGTCTCTAGCTGTTATAGTGCCAGGCACAAGGCACTTAAGAGAAATAAGCCAACTTAAAATGGAGGCCACATAGAAGGTGCTGGAATTATGTGGGGAAGAGAGAGCTCAGCACTTTCATTTTGACCCATTCAGAGTCTCCCTCCATGAGCAAAGGCAGGTGCATAGCGAGAATCAGCAGCAACTCCACACTTGCCTCCTGATACCCTTCAGGCAATGGGAGGCCTTGGCCAAAGTTTGGTTTGGTTTATGTCACAGAGGAGTCGATTATTCCAGGAGATGGTGCTGAGAACTTTGTGTTTACTGGCCCAATTTAAAATTGATTGTAAAACATCAATGTTGGCAGTGTCATGGAATAAATATGACTAAGATTTCTGTTTCACCCTTTACGTGACAACACGCCAAACATGTACCAGCTTCTGTCATCACGCTGTCACTCATGGAAGCTCTTTTTCCCCTTTCTGGACCCTGGAGATGATCCTTTTAAGCTTGGGAACATGAGAGAGTACTCAGAGAATTGGGGCTGTCGGGGTGGGGGAACCCAGCAGACATTTTCCCAGCGCTCAGCCTCCCACCCAAGCTCGTGTTATGAGCAGCAGACCCACAGATGGGGCGCCCAGCTCTGTGCTGGAAGACTGGCTCTGCCCCTCCCTCTGCCAGTGCCCATCCTGCCCAGTATATGGTTTGTACCCATCAGGCAGCCAGGGAGGACGCCTGCCACTCCCCAGCCCTTCCCCCAAACACCCACCCATCCCTCCTCCTCTCTGCCATCTTGGGCACCTGGCTGACACTACTCCCTAGCACAAGGACTACTATTATCCCAAGGAAACTCAAATCCACTGAGAACCCACCCAACAGCAAGGGCTCCTGATCCTTGGCCTTTTCACAGTTTATGAGAAAGGAGCCAACAACTTACAATGCAGACGGGGCAGGAAGAGGACAGGGGAGCGCAAATCTCACCCACTTTCTCAACCTCACTTGCTGTCAAGGCAGCCTTTTCAGCTCCCTGCAAACCTCATTTGCTCATTATCCTAGTAGCTTTGGGTGGGTTCTTTTTTCCTGCCAAGGTGCTGGAGGAAGCTGGATATGGCCCAGACTACAGCCTGCCCTCACCTGACACTGGCCAGGATAGACCCTGCCTGATCAGGAGTCCACATTCTATTTTTTTTTAATTAGATAATAAATTTTATTGTTATATTCCCCATACAATTGCAGCGCCCCCATTCTGACCCCAATCCCTCCCCTCCCGCCCCTGCCCCCCTAAAAGTGTCTCTGGTTCATAGTTTTTTGTTGATTTTGATTTTCACTTTCTTATAGTTATTCATTTTCCTGGTCCCTTATTTAAGTTTTCTAGATTCCTGCTATGAGTGAGACCATCCGGTATTTTTCTTTTTCTTTTTGGCTTATTTCGCTGAGCATGATCCCTTCCAGCGCCATCCATGTTGCTGCAAATTGCATGTGTTTATCTTTTTTGAATGCTGAGTAATATTCCATGGTATATATGTACCACATCTTCTTGATCCAGTCATCTATTTTTGGGCATTTGGGTTGTTTCCAAAGCTTAGCTATTGTAAACAGTGCTGCTATAAACATAGGGGTGCAGGTGTTCTTTGGAATTGATGTTTCTGTGTCCTTTGGGTAAATACCTAGGAGTGGAATTGCTGGATCATATGGAAGCTCTATGTTTAGTAGGTCCAGAAATCTCCACACAGCTCTCCACAGTGGTTGGACCAGTTTGCACTCCCACCAACAGTGCAGAAGAGTTCCTTTTTCTCCACACCCTCGCCAACATTTGTTGTTGCTAGTTTTTTTAATATGTGCCATTCTCACTGTGTAAGATGGTATCTCATGGTAGTTTTGATTTGCATTTCCCTGATGACAAGTGATGTTGAACATTTTTTCATATGCCTGTTGGCCATTTGCATTTCCTCTTCAGAGAAGTTTCTTTTTAGCTCTTCTGCCCATTTTTTGACTGGATTATTTTGTTGTTGTTGTTGAGTCTCATCAGCTCTTTGCAGATTTTGTGATCAGTCCTTTATCATTAGTGTTGGGTGCAAAAATGTTCTCCCAGTTGGTGGGGTTTCTCTTTGTTTTTGTTATTGTTTCTTTTGCTGTGCAGAAGCTCTTTAATTTGATGTAGTCCCAGCTGTTTATCTTCGCCTTCACTATCACTGCTTTGGGTGATGTGTCTGTAAAGATGTCTTTGATGTGCAAATCACGTAGTGTTTCGCCTATATTTCCTTCTATATATTTTATGGTTTCAGGTCTTATGTCTAATTCTTTAATCCATTTTGAGTTGATTTTTGTGTATGGTGTGAGGTAGTGGTCAAGCTTCATTCTTTTCCATGTAGCGACCCAGTTTTCCCAGCACCATTTATTGAACAAACTTTCTTTGCTCCAATGCATATTCTTTGCTCCTTTGTCAAAGATTAGTTGACCATAAATCTGTGGGTTTATTTCTGGATTTTCTATTCGATTCCATTGGTCTGTATGTCTGTTCTTGTTCCAATACCATGCAGTTTTGATGATTATGGCTTTGTAGTATAGTTTGAAGTCTGGGAGTGTGATGCCTCCAGTCCCTTCTTTTTTTTTCAGGAGAGCTTTGGCTATTCGGGGTTTTTTGTGATTCCATATGAATTTCATCAATAATTGTTCTATTTCTTTGAAGAATGACATTGAAATTTTGATTGGAATAGCATTGAATCTGTATATTGCTTTTGGAAGGATGGCCATTTTAATAATGTTTATTCTTCCAATCCATGAGCAGGGGATATCTCTCCATTTCTTTGTGTCTTCTTCTATTTCTTTTAACAGTGTTTTATAGTTTTCTTTGTATAGGTCCTTTACC